TTTGGTATTCTTTCTCTGACAACATGTGGCAATGAGTCTACATCCCATCATCATGTTTCTCTTAATATGCCTACCTATATCTTCTCCAAAGCCTTATTATTTCCTCTCCTCATTGCTTAATATCCTTTACTCTAAGTCTTTGAATTCCTTCCCTTACACTTTTTGAACTTTGGGAATGTATTTTATCATGGAACAAAGGACAGTGCCCCTTTGCATCGACCAACTGGTTAAACACTGAATACACAATCCCTGTGAAGAATGCATATACTTTTGTATACGTATAGGCTCTGTACATTTGATCTGATCCAAAATAAGGATCATGCTCTTCAGTTTAGCAAGTTCAGATCTATTCCCACATTGTCCCATTTTGGGGAGACTATAATTAATTTCATGTCTATAACTCCTAGAAATCTATTTCATCCATACTAATATTCAGAATTGCCTTACCCTACCCCCAAGGCTATGCTAAATTTGTATTCTCATTGCCATAACAACAGCATGACTTGGCTTGCCAAGAGGAAAATTATAAGTTCCCACGTGCAAAGGTGGCAATGCTTCCCCAGCCAAAGAAAGCAAAGCGAGGAGTTATTTCAGGATGACTGGAGAACTTCAGATTCTCCACAGCAACTGCTCTCAAACTTTCATCAGACTTACTTGGAAGACTTGTTAAAACATAGATAGTCAGCCACCCACATTCCTAGACTTTTTCATTTAGTAGGTCTGGAATGTGGCCAGAAAACTACATCTCTAACATGTTCCCAGTTGATTTTGATGCCCCTGGTTTGAGAAGTCTGAGAATCACTGCACCATGTCATAAGAAACTTAAATATTGTCTTTTCCACTTGTGGAATCCAGTGTCTTTTGATAAATTCTCATAGGAGAATTGAAAATGATTGTGAACTCAACTCACAAAATCAGTTTCTGTGTTTGGCTTTGCATGCACCCAGGCTTACAATTATGGATAGAAATCAATTCTTTCATTGCTTCAAGAAAAAAAATGTAGTTTCAGCAAAATGAAAATTTGAGATTTGGTTTTGTTTCTCTTGTCTTCACTTTTAGATGAGAAAATATCATCTTGCCAGCACTCTTCATCCCTTTAAATAAGTCAGTGGCACCAACTACTTAGAAACCAGACTAACTTGTTGCTAAGTACCAACCATATCCAACCTAGTTAAAGAAATTTCCAGTCACATATGTATGGGATCTTAAGAATATTCTGCTTCTTCCTAGACAGACAACTACTTCCAAATTCCTCACATTTTCCCACGGGTGCCTGTTCTCATAAAAATTTTCTTACTTAAGTTTCTTTACTAGCCAACCAGTTTGGTAGAGTGCTACCAAAATGAAATAGTGAAACCTGGGCTTTATATGTTTTAGGAGAGGCTCTTGATTACCATTTCAATTTCCTTGACAGTTTTCAGGTTTTCTAGTTCTTCTGGATTTAGTATCAGGAAGTAGTGTTATTCTAAGAATTTTCCATGCCTTAGTTCTCCAAGTTAGTGGCATAAAGTTATTCATAGGAGTCTCTTGTGATTCTTTTTGTTTCTGTGGTATCTGTAATGACTCACCTTTCATTTGTGTTCCTATTTTATTATAATTTTCTCTCATTTTTTCCCTTAGTAATCTTGGCTAAGAGGTGGCCAATTTTGCTTATCCTTTCAAAGATCCAGCTTTTGGTTTGTTCGCTGTTTTTAGTTTTATTTTTATTTTCCCTCTCATCTTTATTATTCCCTTCTTTCTAATGACTCTGTATTTTATTTAGTTAATCATGTAGATAGACAAATGTAATACACCACTGCAGCAAAAGGAAATATAGAAACCATATAATCATATCTGTAGAAAAGAGAAATTTTGACAAGATTCAAGATATATTTATTACAAAAATTTTGTTTTTGAGGGAGCCACACCCAAAGGTGATCAAGAATTACTCCTGACTTTGTACTCAAAGATACTCCGGTGGGTGTTCAGGGGGCTGTATGTGGTGCTGGGCATCAAACTTGGGTGTCCTGAACGGAAGCAAGCTCTTTCATCCCTGTAACTTCTCTATGACCCCCTGAAACAATTTTTTTAAATTTTTGGGTCACACCCGGCGATGCACAGGGGTTACTCCTGGCTCTGCACTTAGGAATTACTCTTGGCGGTGCTCAGGGGACCTATGGGATGCTGGGAATCGAACCCAGGTCGGCTGCGTGGAAGGCAAACGCCCTACCTGCTGTGCTATCACTCCAGCCCCTGAAACAATTCTTGAGCAGATCTCTATTCTTAACTTGCCAGAACATTTGAAGTTCTCATATCCTGAGGGAGGACAGATATCAAAGGCCTAGAGCACATACTTTGCATTTGGGAGCACCAGATTTGATCCCTGGCACTAGTGGTCCCTTGGGCATTGCTAGGGATAATCTCAGAGCATAGTTGGAAGTTTCCTCCTCAACATCCCCTACCCCCAAAGAACTAGGGAGCTAGGGAGACAGCTAGGGTAGAGTACTGCCTAGCTTATGCAAGGAGCTAGGTTCCATCTGTCTGGTGTACAGCCCTGGTGGCCTAGCATGTCTGAGTGGGGTAGCGGGGATGCCTTATATCACTCACCTGAGTACCAATAGCCTATGGGCAGGACTTCCTGCTCTCCTGGGAGTGGCCCCTGCATTTAAAACAGGGGAAGAAGATAGGACCTGGTGGATAACTCAGTTGGAAAAATGCCTGTTTTGCAAGAGTTTGACTCCCCGGTGCTGACTCCATATGCTAAGCATAGCCCCACATCATCCCCTGCTGTCCCCCTGCATGACAGTGTGCAATGGACCACCACAGATAGCAAAGATGTATGAGCACCATGGCTGGCATTGCATCCCAGGGAGCACTGTGCAAGCATTACAACCAAAGTTCTGCACTGTCTCCCCTCCCCCACCACAGGTACCTAAACCAAGTGGCTATGTTTCTTGTTTAGTTTCTAGTCTTTTTTTTTTTTTGGTGGGGGAGGGGAGAGGGAGGGAGTGTTAACTATACCCTACAATGCTGAGGGAGGGAGATTATTCCTATTCCAGTACTCAGGGGTCGCTCCTGAGGCCACTCCTGGCTTTCTTTGCATTTGGGGGTCCTGGTGATGGAACCACATTTACTAGAGAGAACAAGGATGGCTACATGCAAGGAAACCCCTCATATATCTTCAGACCTTCAATCAAGTGGGGGTGACCCCTGTCACCACAACTCAGCAAAGGGAAGAAAGTGACCAAAGAACTTACAGCGTCTATGATAGCTGCTGTATCACATCAGTCAAGTATTTCATCTTATTTCTGCCAAGTCTGGACATGGGGGGGGGGGTGAGTAGTGGAGTGATAGTGAGGAATGGAGGATACAAGTAAGTCAGATATTCTATCACCCAATAATGTCTATTAAGCTAGCTTGGCTCACAGAATATTTACTTTGCAAAGCAATGGCTATATCTGCCTTGTAGGTCCCAAAATTTTTACTGAGACTTTTTTTTCTTTACCCAAACTACTTAGACAAAGTTTTTCATTTGTTTTTTTAGGGTCACACCCAACAATGCTCAGGAGTTACTCCTGGTGGTCTCTGGGGACTATATGGGATGGTGGGAATCGAACCCCAGGTTGACTGTATGCAAAGTAAGTGTCCTACACACTGTAGCATCTCTCCAGTCCCTCTGTAGAGAATTTTTATGAGGATCCAGGATTCTCTTTTCAACTGAAAGCACTTTAAAATTAGACAAGTTAAAAAATCCTGCCAAGGCTATTGTAAGTTTTCTGTTTTTGAGCAAAGTAAAGCAATTTCAGTTAGAAGACAGGTCCATGGGCTGAGATGTGTGTTTGTATGCAGGAGGCCCCAGTTCAATCCCTGTTGCCACATGGTTCCCTGAGCATAGGCAGTGGAGGCAGGACCAGTGTGACACCCAATTGGAAGTAGCCCATTAATAAGTTGTGTGTGGTCCCTGAACACTTTCCCCCCATATAAGAAATGAACCACGAAAAGGTAAAGCAATTCAACAGATACATAGGAGTTACAGATTTGAAAACTTGTGCTACAAGGAAAGACACACAGAAACATATCAGTGAAAACTCTGTAGTTTGCAATTCAAACACTGTACTTTAAAAATAACTTAGTTTCTTTCTTTTTTTTTTTCTGCAGTAGAAGTTACTATGGCTTGCAAAAGCGCCAAGAAAGTGTCAAATTTTGAGTCACCCACCTAGTTGTATACACATAACCCTTGGCTCACTCGTTTTTGTAAAAATGCTTAATGTTGCCCCCACTATAGCACCACGCGTCCCAATTCTCGGTCAAAAACAAGTCACATGGGGCTGGAGCGATAGTACAGTGGGCAGGGCGTTTGCCTTGCACACGGGCGACCCGGGTTCAATTCCCAGCATCCCATATGGTCCCCCAGGAGCACCGCCAGGAGTAATTCCTGAGTGCATGAGCCAGAAGTAACCCCTGTGCATCGCCTGGTGTGACCCCCCCAAAAAAAACCAAGTCACATTATTGCAGCCCACGACTCCTGTCCCCCCAACCTTCCCCGCCCACCTCCAGCCAAACTCCCCATGGAAAGAGACCAATTTACATCCTAGACCGGGCGGTTATAACGGACGCACGAACATCACCAACGGGCTCGCTTCTGGAGAGTTTAAGCTCCCAGTCCCCTGGGGCGTGGCTTTCCCCGCGTCCCCTCAAAGGCAGTTCTGCGCTTAAGGAGCCTCTTCGGGGGACCTTGGCATTCTCAGACGCCTCGGATGGAAACGAATCTCTCTGCTTGGGAGCGAATCCCGGGAAAAACCCCCGTCAAGGGAGGAGCTAGCTGATGACCCACCGCAGGCTTGCAGCGAATCCGGTGCCTGTCTTTGAAAAGCCTTCCCCGGGCGAGCATCCCGCGCCAGCAACAGAGAGCACCCCGGGACCACGTGCCCGCGCCCCCGGCCGCGCGATTGGCCGAGCGCGTTGGAGCGCTGCGGTGTAGACGCGCGCGGGCCCGCCCAGCGGCTGCCAGTGGAGCCGGGGACGCGGAGCCGAGCGGCCGCAGGGAGAGCGCGGCGGGGAGGGGGGGCGGGAGGGGGGTGGGGGATCCCCGAGGCCCCGATTCTTCTGGGAGGGCCCCGAGCCGGCGCTGGGCGGCCCGGCCCGCCGCCACTAGTCCAGACCCGCTGCGTCCCGCGCCCGGGAAGGAAGGAGCCCGCGACCGCGCCCCTGCTCGGCCTCCGCGGGCCGCGCCTGCCCCGCTCGGTACCCCTTGGAGCCGGGAGCCCCAGCGTCGCCCCCCACGTCCGCTCGCAGCGCCCGGCCTCGGCCCAGGAGCGCGCAGCCCGGGTGAGCCGAGCCCCGGGGATGCGCTGGCCGCCGCCTGGACCCATCGGCGCAGCCGGGTCCCCTCGCCACTTCCCGGGTTGGCCAGCCCGCTGAGACGCTGCGGACCCCGGAGGCGTGGCCCAGCCGCAGCCCCTACTCCCCATTCGCCTTTTCCCTTTTTTCCCCCTCTTCCCCCCCCCCCCCCCACCGGAGCCCGCGCCCCTCGGCCTTTGTCTCCTGGGGTTCCCGGGCCGGTCCCGCGGTGCGCCCCGGAGACCCGGAGGCGCCGCGGCCGGCTTGGAGGCCCTGCTCGGAGGTGGGGGAGTGGGGGGAGCGGGGGGAACGGGAAAGGGTGCCCCCTTCTTTCCTGTTCCGGCCATCTTGCCATCGAGATTCCACCGAGGGTCTCCGATGGCCAGCCAGCCGGCCTCTCCGGGCCCGGGCAGTGATGGGGAGCGCTGGGCCTCTCGCGCCCTCACCCCGGGCCGCAGTCGGAGGCGCACGGGCGGGCCCCCGAGGTCAGCGTCCGGGGGGCGCGGGAAATCCGAGGAATCCAGGTCCGGAGCTGCCGGTTACTTCTTTCCAAAGCCCCGCATTCGTGTCTGTCATTCTTGACCCACGTGTCCCCTAAGGCCTCTCTCTGCTCCTCCTGCGTTAGGTGCTGGGGATAGACCGGCGAGCAAGAGACCAGACCCTTGTTCCCGCTGATCCCTCAGCCCCCCAGTGGATGGAGCCCGCCGCCCCGAGACCTGCCAGGTGAGTGTCTTGAAAGCCCTTTTTTTAAACAGTCGGCCCGAAAAACGGGGGCTGGTTGCTGACCATGAGTTTGCCAGGTCTGGCAAGTGAACCGAAGTATCAGACTTTGAACTTCTCTTAATTTTACAGAGTTCTCTGCCCTTTGCAGCGAAATAATCGTTGGTATTGTTGTTGTTTTGAAGCCCCGTTACGAATGTGTTTGGATTGTTGGTTTCCATGCAGCCGTTTAAAACATGTGCTTATTTGGATGGTGCTTTAATTGGGGGTTGATTTCTCTTGCCCAGTTTCTGGTGAGGGCTGAACGTCTTTGCTATTACCACTCCACTTCCGGTTGTTACTCGGAACTTTCTTTTCTTCTGCTCCTGTATCTGGCGGTTAGGAAAGAAAAACATTTTTCCCGACGCATGGTCCGAGCAGGGCGTCTCCCGTGGACTGAGGAATGTCTGGCTCTTCCTCAGCTCAATGATCTGTGTGGTGACCCCAAAAAGAAGAGGCCTGAGGTCTACAAGTTGCTTCTGAAACTGCTTTCGCCTTTCGGAAAAAGCAATGCAACTTCCACACAAGTTTGTGAGGTAAATTCAGAGCTCAGGCTCCAAGTTCCTTTCCTAAAACTGCTTTTGCCTTCATTTTTGCATAGTCTCCCCCCCCCCCCCCGCCTCCCCCTTCCCCAATCTGGGACGTAAGAAATTCAGGAAGGTCCGTGATCAAATCTAATTCTGAATTCAAATCCCATGCTTCTAAATATACAATTAATCAAGAGTATTCCCTATGCAATTCAGAGAACTTTGACTAACGTACATGCCTGGGTGATCAACTGCATGGGAGAAACACCCAACGTTTCATTTAAACCAAGCAATACTCATCTGTTTCTTTTGCACCCATCCCACCCTTTATTTCATTTTTCAGCTGAGGTTTTTTTTTGGGGGGGGGGGGGGCTTGTTTTCTAAGTGCTCTGTTACGAGCTGAGGATGAGTAGATAGCTGGAATCCAAAGCAAGGACAGAGGAAAAGGCTAAGGAATGACAGCAGAGACCCAAGGATCCCCAGGGAGGTGACACCCCCGCACCCCTAGATCTTAGAGACGTGGAGGGTTGGGCCTAAAGGCCAAGAAAGAGGTGGTGTTCCGCGGGGAAGGTGCCCTCTGGAGGGTGCAACCCGTTTGCCCCCGCGCCTGAACTTGCCCATAAGCTTCTCTCCGTCCCGCAGGGTCCTGGGCGCATGCTGAGCGCGCGCGGGCTGGCGCGCCCTTTGCTCGGGTCCTGGACCCGGGCCGCTGCCATAGCAACGGCCTGGACGCCCAGCCCTTGAGCCTCGGCGGCCGCCGCCGCCGCCGCAGCCGCCGCCGCCGCCGCCTCCTCCGGGGACCCTTCTGCTCCCTCTAGCGAGGGCTGGGGCGGCGGCGGCCGGGACCGGGAGACCAGACCGCCCTCTCCTCTGCTTGCAGCCGCTTCCAAAGATGGTAAGAGGCGGGAGCGCCCTGCGGATGCGAGGATGCGGGGGTGAGGGGATGCCGGGATGCTGGGATGCCCGGATGCGGGAATGTGGGGGGGGGGTGTGTGGAGGTGCAGGTGGGACCGGGAAGGGGCCGTGCGCCACGCTGTCACCTTTCCGCAGCCCTTCCAGAAGCACGTCTACTACCCACTGGCCAGCGGCCTCGACGGTGCAGACGTCCCCGCGGCCGCGGCGGGCGCCGCCTCGCTGGCCAGTGCCACCGCTTCCAGCGCGGCCGCCGTGGGCCCGCTGCCCTTCTTCCAGTTCCGCCCGCGCCTGGAGACCGTGGACTGGCGGCGGCTGAGCGCCATTGACGTGGACAAGGTGGCGGGCGCCGTGGACGTGCTCACGCTGCAGGAGAACATCATGAACATCACCTTCTGCAAGCTGGAGGACGAGAAGTGCCCGCACTGCCAGTGCGGCGTGGACCCGGTGTTGCTGAAGCTCATCCGCCTGGCGCAGCTCACCATCGAGTACCTGATGCACTCGCAGGACTTCCTGACGGCGCAGCTGCGCCAGCTGGAGGAGCGGTTGCGCCTGAGCCTGGCCGACGGCGAGCAGAGCAAGCAGCTCCTCTCCAAGCAGGCCGGGGACATCAAATCCCTCAAGGAAGAGTGTAAGCGCCGGAAAAAGATGATTTCTACCCAGCAGCTGATGATTGAGGCCAAAACCAGCTATTACCAGGTGGGCAGTGGCGTTTGGATGAAACTTCCTGACCCCTAAGACCCCACTGCTTGGGATATTGAAAAGCCAGTTACCTATTTGGGGGTGAGGGAATAGTGGGATTGGATCACACCCGAGACTGCTCAGGCTCTGTGCTAAGAAATCAGTCCTGGAAGTCTTGGGGGACTTAGGTGGTGCCAGGGATTGAACCCAGATCATCTGGATGCAAGGCAAGCATCCTACATGCAGTATTATCTCTCTTGCCTGATTCCACTTTACCTCTTTTTTTTTTTGCTTCTTTTTGGGTCACACCTGGCTATGCTCAGGGTTACTTCTGGCTCTGCACTCAGGAACTGTTCCTGGTGTGCTCAGGGATGTGGGGGACTGAACCCTGGTCAGCCGAATGCAAGGCAAACACCTTACTCGCTCTACTATTACTCTGGCCCCAGGATTCCTCAATTTTAAAAAAAGTTTGTACAGTAATGAAATTTTCTTCCCGACATTCAGAGGTTACTCCTGACTCCTAAAATGTCAGGAATTACTCCTTGTGGTGCTCGGGGAGCCATATGGAATGCCAGGGATCAAATCTTCATCTGCCATGTGCAAGACAAACTCCCTACCTCATGGATCTTCTCTCTCCGACCCCCAATTAAAATTATTTTTGCTTATTTATATATACCCTTATCTGCAACTATTCTGACTTCCATCTTGAGTCCAAGATAACTTTTAAATTTTGAGTATAGCAGAAATCAACAGGTGTTTGATAGAGGTGGAAGCCAGTCACAGACCGCCAAGATTGGTTTCACACCTTTACATTCTGTTCATTTGGCTAAATGTCTTTAAAATGTCAGTGGACTTAGAAAATTATGGTGCTAGCTTATCGTGATGAGAAAGCGAATTCAGAGAGCAGGGTCAGAAATAGGTGCAATTACTAGAAATAGAGTGAAAAAAAAGTTAACAGTGCTTAGTACTCAAGAGGATCCTTGTGAGAAATGAGCTTACAACAGACGAAGGAATAGTTAGGGTGCAGGGAATCACCCATTGAAACAACTAGAAATCTCCAGCTGCCTGTGTATCTTGTATTTATTTATTTATTTATTGGTTTGGGGACCACACTTGGTTTGCTCAGGGGTTACTGAGCACTTATAAATTAGTCCTGGCAGTTCTGGGGGCGGGGGGGCGGCATAAGGACAATTCTCTGGGAATTGAACCTGAATTGGCTACATACAAGGCTAGTGCCTGTCCACTGTATTATTAGCTCTGGCCCCTGCCTGTGTCTTTTATAAATTCTATTGATGAACTAGTCCAGAGATGGTTCTTTATTAGCATATTTATTGTACAATGAATAGAATGAATTACACTTAAGCATTGTAAGAAGTTGATCATATTCCAGCTTTGCTATTAGTCCAGTGAATCAAAACTTGTAACAGACATTTTTTCATGTTTGTTCTTATTTTTTTGTTTGGTAATTGTAGAAATAGTTGGTAGTAAGTAAAGATTTTCTAATAATTTAAGTGTAGGGGTGTGAACAAGGATAGGAAGGTCCTGGTTGGGTTTTATACGAATGACACCTGTCAACTCTTTGCCACCCAGGAAACTCTGGGTGACAGTATTTATAGGGTTGGGGCCAGAGTACAGTGGGCAGGGTGTTTGCCCTGCATGCGGCTGACCCAAGTTCAATCCCAGACATCCCATATGGTCTTCTGAGCCCACCAGGAATAATTGCAGAGCCAGCAGTAACCTCTGAGCACTGCTGGGTCTGGTCCAAAAAGCAAAAGCAAACAAAATTGCCCGGTGTTGAGCTCAGATGCCACCAAGAACTGGTAGGTGTGACTAGACTACTTTGCTCCACTCTTGACTAAGTGCTTGCTCTTGTCCGCTAGAGTCACCAAGTTGACTGGCTGGTTGGAATCCTGGCTGTAGATTCCACTGTGTAGGTCCTTCACTTCTTTTTTTTTTTTAATTTTTATTAGTGAAACACCATGAGGTACAGTTGTAGACTTACACATTTTTGTGCTTGGGTTTCAGTTATACAATGAACAAATACCCATCCTTCCACCAGTGCCCATTTTCCACCACTTCTAAGCTTCAGTTTCCTCATTTAGAAAATAAGAGCATTAAGAGTATCCACGCCCCCTTTTAAATTTCTGTGCTGGCAATGGAACCAGGGTCTGGGACATTGGAGGCATGTGCTTTAAGGTTCTTTCTGAGGGTTGGCGTGTGGATGCCAGGAGATGATTATGCCTGGGTGTCATGATAAAGACTCAGTGATCAGTATCTGACATGTAGGTGCCAATTGCTGCAGTTCACGGCTGTGAACTGTGGTTGCTGTGAATTTCTGAGTCCTCATACCTCTGTGAGTTACTCACTGACTATGCGGGATGAGAAGACCAAAGGTCCCAGTGCTGAGCCTGTGGCTGGTGCTTCAGGGCCAGGAGTGTAGGTGCTGCTGAGGGCAGCTAAGTAGGTACAGCTGCTGGTGTTCCACTGGGTCCCAAGTTCCTGTGTGCTTGACAATTCTGTGTTCGGAAAGATTCTGTTGAAGTAGTTCTTGAGCTTTCACACTTTTTAGGAATTTGTGTTCCATAGAGATCCCAACTACTGGGGGAAAGCCAGTGCCACATGTGGGCTTAGGATCTTGCTACCAAATTACTAAAAAGGAAAAAAAATCAGGGGATTTGGGGAGCACACCTGGTGGTGCTGGTGGAACCATATTTGGCTCTGGAGATCAAATCAGGATCATCTACATGCAAGGCAAGCACCTTTCATTCCTGTCCTGCCTCTCTCTCTCTCTCTCTCTCTCTCTCTCTGGCACCGCAACATTTTTTTAAGTTAAAGGTTGTTAGTGGATTTTAACAGGTCTTAGGCCTTTTCATTTTCACCTGCTGTGGTTGAGAGACTCCAATTCCTCTTCCTGCTCCAGCACCTCAGGCATATGTTGGAATCTGCAGTGTGTTTCTGTCCTAGCTCTCCCTTTTGTCACTGCTTTCAGTTGGAGATGAGTGGTGGGGAATTGAAGAGCAGTTGGCTGCTAACTGATAGATTAGAGATTACAATACGCAGTTGATGATCAGTGACTTAGTGACTTCACTTTGCTCAAGTTGGGCACTTTCCCCAGTGAAGTGGTTACTGTGGACATGAAGTGAGGTGATGAGGGATCCCACCTGAGCTGCAGCTCTGAGCAGGCACAGTACAAATGGTGGTTTCTTTTAGCCACTCGTCTCTTTGGGAATTTCCCACAACATATTTGGAAAAATAGAGAATCTCCATCCTACTTCCTTTGGCAAAAGAGTCTTATTAATTCCATTATCTTAATTTTTTTTCATTTTTAAAAATATTTTTCATTTAGGAGTGAATGATGGAGGTTGCCTTAAAACAATTACACTTTTTTACATAGCTAGTTATCTATATATAGTTATTTTCTTAAACCACATACATTGAATATAATCTTCACATCTGCTGTCCTTGGGTTTTTTTGTCTTTGGGAAAAACTATCGAGTTCTTTCTTTTTTTTCTTAAATTTTTATTAGTGAAACACCATGAGGTACAGTTGTAGATTTACAAATTTTTGTACTTGGGTTTCAATTGTACAATGATCAAATACCCATCCCTCCACCAGTGCACATTTTCCACCACCACGGGTCCCAGTATCCCTCCCACTCCCCATCCTCGCATCCTGCCCTGCCTCTGTGGCATGGCATTCCTTTTTGTTCTCTCTCTCCTTTTGGGTGTTGTGGTTTGCAAAAGAGGCAATGGGTGACAATCATGTTTAGTCCATAGTCTACTTTCCGCATGCTTCTCCCATCCTGGGAGGATCCTCCCAACATCTTTATTTGGTGTTCCCTTCTTTATCTGAGCTCCCTTTTCCCCTAATATGTGTGGTTGGCCTCCAAGCCATATAGTAAAATTCCTGGTACTAATCTCGGCCATTCTTGGGTGTTAGTCTCCTATTTTGTTACTTTATGTTCTCCAGATGAATGCTATCTTTCTATGTCTATCCCCCTCTTTCTGACTTATTTCGCTTAACATGATACTTTCCATGTAGTACCACTTGTATGTAAATTTCATGACTTCATCTTTTCTAACAGCTACATAATACTCCATTGTGTAGGTATACCAACGTTTTTTTAACCAGTCATCTGTTCTTGGGCACTCAGGTTTTTTCCAGATTCTGGCTATTCTAAAGAGTGCTGCATTGAACAAACAAGTGCAGATGTCACTTTGACTATACTTTTTATACCTCTCTCGGATGTATTCCCAGGAGTGTTATTGCTGGGTCTAAGGGGAGTTTGATTTCTAATTTTTTGAGAATCATCCATACAGTTTTCCAGAAGGGCAGAACCAGTCGGCATTCCCACCAGCAGTGAAGGAGGGTCCCTTTCTCGCCACATCTGCGCCAGCACCGATTGCTTTTGTTCTTTTGGATGTGGGCCAGTCTCTGTGGTGTGAAATGATATCTCATTGTTGTTTTGATCAGCATCTCCCTGATGATTAATAATGTAGAGCATTTTTTCATGTGCCTTTTAGCCATTCGGATTTCTTCTTTGAGAAAGTTTCTGTTCATTTTGTTGCCCCATTTTTTTATGGGGTTGGATGTTTTCTTCTTGTGGAGTTCAACCAGTACTTTGTATATCCTTGATACCAACCCCTTGTTGGATTTGTATTCGGCGAATATCCTTTCCCATTCTGTAGACTGTCTTTGTATTTTGGTCACTGTTTCTTTTGAGGTGCAGAAGCTTCTTGGTTTAAGATGGTCCCATTTGTCTATCTCTGTTTTCACTTGCTTGGCCAGTGGCGTGACATCTTTGAAGAAACCATTAGCTTCAGTATCATGGAGGGTTTTGCCAACTTTGACTTCAATGTACCTTATGGATTCTGGTCTGATGTTGAGGTCTTTAATTCATTTTGATCTTACTTGAGTCTTTTCCATGAGTTGTTAATGGCAACTAATTGTCAGCAACTCATTATGTTGCTTTTTTTTTCTAAAAATGCTTTTTTTTAAAAAAGCTACATCTTCAAAACCGAGTGATACATCATTCATCTGTATATCAAGTTTACTTACATACATGCCTGTTTATGTATAAATGTAAACACAGTTATCCTATGTATACAGCTATTTTAATAGAATGCAAAACATTTGAAGTAAATTTTTCAAAGTATGCTTAAACAATCTTATTGATCTTCCCTATTATTTTACTTCCTGATGCTTAAGGCTTACTCCTGACTCTGTGCTCTGAATCATACCTGGCAATGTTCAGTTGGTGCCAGGGATTTGAACTAAGGTCGGCTTCATGCAAAGCAACGGTTATCTCCCGTACTATCTCTCTTGCCTTGTAAAGTCTTTGAGATCTTTTATTACTGTGGAATTTTGATTGCTGGTTATGTACAGTTTTTTCTACCTTCTTATCCTGAAAGGGAACTTTATACTATAACACCAGAATCTATGTACCATAGAGTGTATTTTTGATTCTCTTGCTACTTCTTGTAAAATACATAGTTTTTTTTGTAAGTTTTGTTTTATTTTTATAAAGTTGTTCATGATGATTTATTACATTCAATATTCCAACACCAGTACCATCACCATTACAACTTCCCACCACCATTATTTTAATTTTCCCAACCACCACATAAGCCTGCCCCAATAGCAGGCCCTAAACAATTTATTTTGTATTGCTCATTATGAATATTTTGCTAAAAATGATCAGAAAAGAGTTCCTTAAAAAAAATAATGTATGAAGATTGTTGTATCTCACCCTGGAACAAGTAAGCCCTTGTATAAGAGGTTACTAACATGTTGTTACAGGTTGAGCCTTGTGTGCTATTATTTTCTTAATCGAGATTGGTTGTCTTCTACTTGATATCCCATCCAAGGTGCTGTATCTCATACTCCTGGTACATCAGTGGTGTAGAGCTTGAGATGTCGCTCCAGAAATTCAAAAATTTCTAATGGGATGATACAGCTGGAGTTAAGATTTAAACTGGATGGTGACTTTGGGGTCTGGAAGTATCTCTGCCACTTGTTGATCTCTTTTGAGATTTATTTATGAGTCTTGGATCCTGGTCGATTAATGAGCTTATATGGTGCCAGGGGCTGTTCATAGGGATGACTACCAGGTTTCTGGAAGAGCAGGTACATGAGGGGAGGTAGCCCATCCCGGACTCCATGAGACTCTGGAGATTTTGGTCACAAAACCCGCATAACTGAATTTTTTAACATTCATTCCTGGATTCATTCATTCTCATCCTGAGCCTGTGGAGTCTGGCTATGAGCATGCACTGCACTGTAGCACTGTCCTCCCATTGTTCCTCAGTTTGCTCAAGCTGGCCCAGTAATGTCTCCACTGTGAGACTTGTTGTTACTGTGTTTGGCATATTGAATACGTCATGGGGAGCTTGCCAGGCTCTGCCGTGCGGGTGAGATACTCTCGGTAGCTTGCCAGGCTCTCCGAGAAGGGCGGAGAAATTGAACCCAGGTCAGCCATTCCGGCCACATGCAAGGCAAACGCCCTCCCTACCTGCTGTGCTATCGCTCCAGCCCAGCTGTGAGCATGATGGCATACAACACACATTCTTAACTGAGTTTCTAAGTACTGTGATGTCTGTTATATGGTGCCTTTTGGCTTGGTAGTGGTGGAGCAGATACTCCAAGCACTCCTAATTGGGAGCTTTTTTTTTTTTTTTTTTTTGCAGCGGTGTAGTAGGTGTTTGCAGCCAGTCCTGGCAGTGCTCATGAATTACTCCTGGCTCTATGCACAGTTGTGACCTCTGGTGGTGCTCAGGGGACTACACGTGGTACCAGAGAGTCTAATTGTAACTAGACTGGGGTGGATGCAGGGCAAGTGCCCTTGTACTATCTTGCTGGCCTCTGATGGGAAACTTTTGCTTTTTCCTTTAAACCTCTGTTGTTTGTAATGTGAGGCTTATGTCCTGAATATTGATGTCCTAATATATAGCTGTGCTAGAAAATTAAATTTGGAGATAATAAATATTAATTCTAAAATTTGGAGATAATAAGTTTTAAGTCAAAAATATTTTTTATGCTTTACCTTGGGGGGCTTGTTTCTGAGTCACACCTGACTGTGCTCAGGACTTCCTCCTGGATCTGTGCTCAGGCATCACTCTTGGTGGTGCTCAGGATCTCATGAGTGGTATCAGGGATAGAACCAGGGTCAGCCGTGTACAAGGCAAGCACCCTACCTGCTATGCTATCCCCCTGGCCCCTTGTTCCATCCTCTTTAATACTATTGCTTTTTTATATGGTCACCTCACTTCCGGTTGCATCCTACCTCCTGGGAACATGAGTTTGGCCTTCATTTTTTTCTTTTTTTTAAATTCTTTTTTTCTTTTTTCTTTACTTATTTTTTTTTTTTTTCTTTTTGGGTCACATCCGGTGATGCACAGGGGTTACTCCTGGCTCATGCACTCAGGAATTACTCCTGGCAGTGCTCTGGGGGACCATATAGGATGCTGGGAATCGAACCCGGCTTGGGTGTGTGCAAGGCAAATGCCCTACCCGCTGTGCTGTCGCTCCAGCCCCAGGTCTTCACTTCTTAAATTTTCTTACTTCAATAATATTATGGAAGAGGAATCATGTCGTATGTACTTTTTGGAATTGGCTTTATCCACGCCGCCTAATTCTACGAAGAGTCATTCAACTATTGCATGTATCAGTGATCCATTTGCTCTCTCTTTTTTTCTAGTTCTTAGGTCTCACATAGTGGTACCTGAGAGCTACTCCTAGCTCTGTGCTCTGGGGTTGATTTTGGCAGTGCGCGGGGGACCATGTGGTGTCAGCATTGAAACCTGGGCCTTTTGCATGTGCCATTGAACTGTCCCCGAACCATTCTTGTACTTTGCTTTTTGGGCCACACCTGGTAATGCTCAAGGGTTACTCCTGGATCTCTACTCAGGAATTACTCCTAGCAGTACTCAGGAGTGGGGTATCGGGGATTGAACCCAAGTAGGTCGTGTGCAACTCCCCTCTGTACAACTGCTCTGGTTCCCTCCTTTTTTTTTTTTGGCTCTTTTGGGTCACACTCAGTGGTGCTCAGGGCTTACTCCTGACTCTGCATTCAGGAATTACTCCTGGCAGTGCTCGGGGGACCATATGGTATGCTGGGGGTCGAACCCAGGGCAAATGCCCTCTTTGCTGTACTATCACTCCAGCCCTCCCCTTGCCTCCCCCTACCCCACCCTGCCTATTCACATTTTAAACTGGCATTCTGTTGTGTGTATGTATCCATTTGATAGTTTAGGCCTTTGGACATGACCTTTAAGCTTGTGACCATTAGAAAGAACACAAAAAACATGCACAAGCAACTTTTTGTAGGAATGTGTTGTTTTGTTTTTTGTTTTGTTGCTAGCTCTGCTTAGCATCCTTTTTGTTTTATTTTGTTATTAGTCTTTTATTTCTTCCCTTCCCACCTTCCTTGTATGGTCATCGTTGTGATGCTCTGTGAGTCTGACAATGGCCCTCGCTCGTTTAGCTGTGGTGCTTGCTGAGGGTCATCCAACAGCCTGCAGGGCCTGCACCCCTGTCCTCAGAGCTCACCCAGATTCTCAGGCCTTTAGTTGCAGTGTGTGCACCCTGGGTCTTGGGCCCTCTTCAGTAATGTGTGGGCTCCTCTGAGTCTTTTTTTTTCTTTTGCATCACACCCGGCGATGCACAGGGGTTACTCCTGGCCTTGCACTCAGGAATTACTCCTGGCAGTGCTTGGGGGATCATATGGGATGCTGGGAATCGAAACCAGGTTGGCCGCGTGCAAGACAAACGCCCTACCCACTGTGCTATCAATCCAGCCCCACCTCCTCTGAGTCTTTCGCCTCACCAGAGAAACTTTACAATCAGTTTGTTGCTATTATCTATGGGGGAATTTGCTGGAACTCAGATGGGGAACACCTGTAGTCTGTAGATCAAATTGGGAAGAGCTGACACCTTGACATTCTTTAGTCTTCCCTGTGCCCGTGTTGTCTGTCTGGGTTTGGAGTCACACCCACAGTGGGCAGGAACTACACCTGCTGGATCTTGGTGTGCCGTATGCTGTCAGGGATCGAACTTGATTTCCTACCTGCAGAGTATGTGTTTTGGCACGCTGCATTATTTCTCCGGTCCTTACCGAGTCTTTTTTTTTCCTCTTCTTTTATTGCTTTTTGGGTCACACCTGGCGATTCACAGGGGTTACTCCTGGCTCATGCACTAGGAATTACTCCTGGCGGTGCTCGGGGGACCATATGGGATGCTGGGAATCAAACCTAGGTTGGCTGCATGCAAGGCAGATGCTCTCCCCCCTGTGATATTGCTTCAGTCCCCTTACTGAATCTTCTTATCCATTTAAAAGGATCTTGATTTTCAGTTTTTACCATAGGCACTGTGATTTTCAGTACCGTTAATGGCTGGATTTCATGCATGAAACTTTTAGTTCTTCATTTTGTTTGTGAGAATGTTCCCCCATGTGGGTCCTGACAATCTATGAACACTGTCTTGTGTGACAAGGAGGCTTGAGCCCTGGGTCAGTGTGGGGAGGACTCAGGCAGAGGCCCCTGAAGTGGTCCCAATGGAGGGTGAGGAAGTGGACATGACAGCAGATTGCCGAGTACAGGCGCCCCAGGCCTTGCTCCTGCGTTCCAGGGACCCTTCTGGAGGGCTCCTTTAATCACTATTCCGTGTTCATTTGGGGAAGAATGCCTTGGTTTTCTGTCTCCTTACTCATTCTTGCCAACATGGTCACTATGAAAGGGGCCCCCAGTTCAACTTTCCAAATTGCAAATGAAGGGGCTGGAGTGACAGTCCAGTGGGTGGGCATTTGCCTTCCATGCAGCTGACCTACATTTGATCCCTGGCATTCCCTATGGTCCTCTGAGCACTGTCAGGAGAGCCAGGAGTCAGCCCTGGGCACCGATAGGTGTGATCCCCAAACCAAAAAACCGAAACCAGAAACCCAACCCCAGTTGCAAATGACATTGAGCACCTGATGCGTGCTCCGGACATCTGGATTTGTTGCTCTGTGTCCTTTCAGTGCCATTTCTGTGACAAGGCCTTTATGAACCAAGCCTTTCTACAGAGCCATATTCAGCGCCGCCACCCTGAAGATCCTCACCTTGGTAAGTGATGAGCTCAAGTGTGAAGAACTCATTTCCTTCTGGTCCCTTGTTTTCTCTTTCCTTCTTTTGGTAAAACATGGGTCTGGTATGTTCCTCAGTCCTTTTGAAAAAAAAAACAACCTTTTTGACTCACTTGCAGTCAATTTTGAGCCCCTCCTCTGGGCCAGGCACTGTACTTGGGGTGGGGATGAAGGCCACAAGTGAACTGAAGAGTTCTGCTCTCTCAGTCCTGGAGAGGGGGACACCTTGAATGAATGAATGACTTTCCAAATGGGCAAGTGCACCAAGGGAAGAATACAGGAGGAGCGGGTGGGGAAGAACTGCCAAGAGTCTGCAAAGACCTTTCTCTCTTTTTTTTTCTTTTTTGCTTTTTGGGTCACACCTGGCAATGCTCAGGGGTTACTCCTGGCTGAGCACAGAGCCAGGAGTAAGCCCCCAGCACAGCTAGGTATGGCCCAATCTACTCCCCGCCACACTGCACCCCACCCCAAATCACAGGAGGTAATAGTTCGTCAAAAAATGAACTCATGAGTATGGGGAATAAAACTAGAAAGAGAATATTGTCGGCAGGGGGAACTGTGGTTGTGAGGGTGATGGGAGAGGGGGACACGAGGGCATGTTGGAAGGACAGACAGAAGGTCCAGGGGTGGAAAGGAAGAGACTGGCTCACATGGGGACCTCAAGAGCCCAGGGCAGGTGGAGAATAGTCAGGAAGAGGCAATGGTGGAGCAGGGAAAGATGGAGGAGATGGTGACAGTGGTCCAGGTGGGGCAGAGTGGCAGTTAGATCAGGTTGGTAGCAGGATGGATGGGAGAAGTAAAGATGGAGAGAACCTGTGTGGAGCCCAGATCCCATGGCGCCAGGATTGCATGGAGAGCGAGAGCAGTTAGGGTTAGGGTTAGGGTTAGGCAGCGTGGAGATTGTCCTGGGCTTTTGTCCTGTTCCAGGCAGTAATTCTTTGTCTAGATGGGGACCCACGGGCGGGAGGCAGCTTGAGGGAGGCAAGAGAATACAGAGATCGAGTTGGCCATGAGGAAACAAATCACACATAAAATTTCCATGCGAGTTGGGGAAGATTCTAGAGGGGTGGCCTGGAATCCAAGCAGAGGCGCAGTTGGGAGTCAGTCCTGAGCAGTCCCGGGCTGGGTGAGATGGCCTAGATGGGAATGAAGCAGAGGGCCAACCCTCAGGCACCCCTGGATACTCAGGATGAGAGCAACTGGAGTGAGGGAGAAATAGAAATGGGGGCAGGGAGGGGGGTAAGCTGGCAGATGTTTTGTTGCAGAAATCCATATTTCAGGGACCAGGCAGAGTGAGCCACAGAATAAGGTGAAGATGGAGAACTGACCTTTGTCCCCAAGAGCGCTTGGTGACCTTGATCGGACAGCACCAGAGTTGGTGGCGAGGAAGAGCTTTGTTGGGATGAGCAGGGTTGGGGGCCAGTCTTGGAGTGTGTATAACGCACCACCGCCAGTGCCATTGAATTTCAGGAACATTTGCCACGAGGGAAAGTGGCCACGTGAGTCTTAGCTGGAGGGAAAAGTGAGAACAAGGCACAATTTTTATATAATTTGACGGGAGAGATGCTGTGATGTGTTTGGTTGCTGATGTGAGTTAGCCTGGTGTAGAGGGAGAAGTTGAAGCAGGAAGAGAGGGGAGGTGTCTGTGGCTTACCAAGCAGCCAAGTTTCCCACGTTTAAGTTATCCAAAGCAAAGGATGCAAGAGGCATCTTTCTCCAGCAGCTGGAAGCATCCTGCAGGGTGGCCTGGCCGTCCTCCCAAACCTACAGCACGATCTTAAACGTTTTCCGTCTCTAGACACGTGTACCTGTAACTCACGCAGTCCTGGCTTTCCCCTCTTCGTTTCCAGCCCTGGCTGTTCCGGTCCAATAGATTAATGGAGGAGGAAATAGCTAAAGATTTCTATAAATGCCACAGACGACACAAAATCCCATTTATAAAGTCACGGGCCGCTGACACGGTTCAGCAGCGTGCTGGCGAAGGTGGCAGAGAGGAACGATTTGAAGCGCGTGGTTCAGTGTGACTGACCTTCTCTCTTCTGTTTCAGCGTCTCACTCTCTCTCTCTCTCTCACACTCGCTTCAAAGAGTGTTTCAGGCTCTGAAACGGGTGTTGTCTCTTCAGGTCATCTCTGAGGTTCTGACTCTCTACTTTGGTTTCCATCCCTTTCATGTCTGCACTCACAGACACATGTATTCCATTCAGTCATGTGCACATCTGCATGTAAGTACGTGGACATACAAGTATTCTTCCCTTCACTTGTCGCTTTCCTTTCAGCTGTCCAATACCTTTTTTTTTTGCACCCAGATCCCCCCCTGTCCCACCTCTCCCTGTGGCCAGGATGTGGTCCATGGCCTGTGGCCCATGTTTGTATTTTGAATGTCGGCCTCTGCTTGTGTCTCGGGACCACTGGGGTTCTTGGACGAGTGAGAATCGGAGAGAGGGTGACCACACACGGTCTGGACGATGTTGGTGGCAGTAGAAGCTGTTGCTCCCCTTTTCCGATGGAGAAGAGGGTGTGCCACTGGGTCCGAGCAGCCAGGATGGCTCTCTGTCACTGTTAGTGCTCCCTGCACGGGCTCTCATGCTGTCCGTAGAATATCCCAGCCTCACTCGGTGGCCGAAAGCACTGGCTGAGGACAGTTGAGAGCCCAGCAAGACCAAGGGCTGCACAGAAATGTTGCTCAGGATCACAAGTGTGCTCTGGTGGCATGAAAACAAACAAATAACGGCCCCCTCCCTCCAAAATTTTATTCCAAATCAGAGCAGATTTCTTGGCCTTTTCCTGAGCCATAGCTTGAGTAGAGGTTCCCTGCGTTATTTTTGTTGTTTGTTTGTTTGTTTTAACGTGATATTTCTGTTGCGACAGGGTATAAGAAAAGGGAGCAGACAGACAGGCTCCAAAACGAGGTGGACATGCTGAAGGAGCAGCTGCAACTGACCAGGACCCAGCTGGAGGCTGCCCAGCACGCGCATGCAGTCAGGTTCTCCAAGGTAGGGTCCTGGCCAAGCTGGCACCGGGGACCAATCCGAGCCATGCCTCCCACGGGTTTGGGAGAATTCACCAGTGAGGCACGCTGGTCCTGAGCTTTTCTTGGTTAGTGGGTTGTTATCGTTATCATTATTATTATTTTTATGCTTTAGAGGGTACCAGATGTTCAGTCACACTCTGTGTTGTTCTGGGCTCACTCCTGCCGCTGTGCTCAGGCGTGGTCTCCTGATGGTTTTCGGGGGAACATGTGGCATGTGGTGCTGTGGAGGATTCAATCTTGAGTGTTTGGGTCAGCCCCATGCAAAGGAAGCTCCTTTGGACTCTTCTTCCAGCCCTGGGAGGTATCTGATCATTTATTTCATCTCCTTGTTTGTTATTGACCTTTTTTTTTTTTTTTTTTTTTTTGCTTTTTGGGTCACAGGGGTTACTCCTGGCTTTGCACTCAGGAATTACTTCTGGCAGTGCTTGGGGGACCATAAGGGATGTTGGGAATCGAACCCGGGTTGGCTGCATGTAAGGCAAATGTCTTACCTGCTGTACTATCGCTCCAGCCCCTAACGTGTTTTTTTTTTAATGTAGGAGTACTGCGGTTTATTCAGCTGTTGATTAAACTGATTGAATTGGGTATGAATTCCCCATTACTTTAAAAAAAATTTTTTAGAATTTTTAAATTGAATATCTGTGAGATAGACCATTACAAAACTGTTCATAATTGAGTTTAAATCATATAATGACCCAGTGCCTGTCCCTCCACCAGTGCACATTTCCCACCAGCATCCCCCCAACACCCCATTCACCCCACCCCCAGCCTGCCTCTATGGGAGGTACTTTGCTTCTTGCTCTCTCTCTCCTTTTCCTTTTGTGTATTCTGGTTTGCAATACAGGTGCTGAGAGGTCAGGGTGTCTGTTCAGGGCATTTTTATTGACCTGTTAGAATTTTCTGTTTCTTCCTGAGTAAGTCTCTACGAATTGGGTGTCTCTATAGGTGTCTATGAATTAATTTCTTCTAGAAAGACCAGTTTGTTGACATACCGCTATTCCTAATAGTTTCTTAAAGTCCTTTGTAATTCAGTTACTGTGTCTCTTCATTTTAAAAAATATTTATTTTAAATTTATGGTTAGTTAAGTAATGGTTTATGTTTGGTGATTTTTTTTTTTGGTCACACCCGGCGATACACAGGAGTTACTCCTGGTTCATGCACTCAGGAATTACTCCTGGTGTGCTCGGGGGACCATATGGGATGCTGGGAATCGAAGCTAGGTTGGCTGCGTGAAAGGCAAATGCCCTACCCACTATGCTATCGCTCTAGCCCCGGTAATGTTTTTAACACCAGCTCATGGAGCTGGAGATAGAGCACAATGGGTAAGGCGTTCGCCTTGCACCTGGCAGATCCAGGTTCAATCCCCGGCATCCTGTATAGACTTTGGAACCCTCTCGGGAGAGATCCCTGAGTGCAGAGCCAGGAGTAAAGGAGTAAGCCCAGAAGAACTGCCAGTGTGGCCCCAACACACACACACACACACACACACACACACACACACACACACACACACACACCAGCTCTCAGTTTTGTTGATCTATTTTCCCATTCAGTTCTATTTTATTTGCTTATTCTTTTTTTTGGTGGTTGTGGGGCATATTTGATGGTTATTGAAAAATTGAAGACCATTACAAACCGAAGAGTTTGAACCCTCTGAACCCTATATCTAAATACATCTGAATTTCTCTTCTTGGAATGTAAGTTGGGGTAGCTCTCTCCAAATTGATAACAAAAAGTGTTCTCATTTTTCTTTAAAAATATAGTTTATATTTTCTTTTTCCCCTTTTTTGGTGGGGGTGGGGTGGGGGGAGATGGTCATACCCAGCTGTGCACTGAACTACTCCTGGCTCTGTCTTCTGGGATCAATTTTGGTCATACTTGGGGGGCAATATATGGAGACAACCCCATTCCTCTGTGTGTAAGGCAGTCTCTTACCCACTATATTATCTTTCCAGCCCTATTTCTGTCCTCTATATCATTTCATGTCTGCTATTTAAGATATGCTGTATAAACTCATGATCTTGAGATACGGGGTTTTTGTTTTAATGGACTGAAGGATAAAGGACACTGCATGTGACCGTTGGTTTGGTGTAAGACCCCGCTATTAAATAGTGTATTATTAAAAAATATACTTGACCTGGGCAGTACTGACTGACATTGGAAGTGATGTGTCTGCTGCTTTTAAAACCTGGGTTATTTTTTTCTCTTTGGGTCACACCCGGTGATGCTCAGGGGTTACTCCTGGCTTTGCACTCAGGAATTACTCCTGGCAGTGCTTGGGGGATCATATGAGATGCTGGGAATCGAACCCAGGTCAGCCGCGTGCAAGGCAAATGCCCTACCCGCTGTGCTATCATTCCAGCCCCTAAAATCTGTTTATTTGCTTCCTATCAGAACAGTCAAGCCATTTACTCATATGATTTCAGGAATATGAATTGCAAAAAGCAAAAGATCAGGAATTTTTGAAGCTATTTGATCAATGGAAAGAAGAAGAAAAGGAGAAACTAGTGGATGAAATGGAAAAAGTCAAGGAAATGTTTATGAAGGAGTTTAAAGAATTAACTTCCAAGAATTCAGCATTAGAATTTGTAAGTATCGCCTTTTTTGTAGCATCTTCAGCGGTTTTTCATAACAAACAATGCAAAATACATTATTTCGGTTCTGATTTGGGACAGAGATTGGGGTTTGGGGTGGAAACATCCGAAATATGGTGGTGAGAAGGTGTAATGGTGGGGGAATTGGTGTTTGAATATTAAATGCAATCAAAATGTAAGTATTGTGAACTACCTTATAAAATAAAACAAATAGAATATGTAAGTATTGATGGAGCCGTTCTCCTGTCCACAGGTAGTATTGCTGCCTTCAGAGGCGTTAGAAGGGCATTATTCAGGCCAGAAAGTAGCTTCCTGTCTCATGCACCAACCCCCACACCCCTCCTCGCCCAGTCTTAGGGGAGCTGGAGGCACAAGCCAAGTCTCAAAAGACATTCCCTTGCAAGTGGGAACCCTAGCCCCTAGTCCCAGTGCAGAGCACTTGGCTAGAAGTGGAAGAAGTTCCGATTTTCTTACTTTGTTAGTTAGGTCATCTTCTTCCATCAAACCCTCCCTGACTTTGGGAACTCTCCAAGTTCCTAAGGAAGTTTCCAGAAAGACGGACACAGAGTCCCCAGTGTGGGAGGAGAGGGAAGCCCACCCAGAAGGACAGGCTCCTCAGGCAGGTCCTTATCACACCCCAGGAAAGGAGAGCAGGGGGTCTACTGCCAGCAGCGTGTGGCTCACTGAGCCCTCCTCTCTTGAGGCGGGGGGCACACTTGGTCCACAGCGCCCCGGTCATGGGCACGGTTGATGGCCAGAGACTCAGCCAGCTTTATTCTGCGGCTCCTTCCTTCCCTAGAAAGGGGCCAGCCGGCCTGCCCCGGGGAAGGAATGGACCAGCCTGGTTTTGGGAGACAAGGGAGCAGGGAATGGCCAGGGGAGGAGCTTGGGCTCCCTCTAGGGGCCAAAGCATTTCATGACCGGCCGCTGGAAGACGGCAAGGTCCTTCTCTTAAAAACTTCCCAGGATATGAAGATAGGCCTGATGATCTTTTGGTATCTGTATTGCAAACCATAATGCCCTAAAGGGGGGTGGGGTGGGGTAGGGAAGGAGGGAGACAGACAGACAGAGACAGAGACAGAAAGAGACAGACATAGAAAAGAGAGAGAGAGAGAGAGAGAGAGAGAGAGAGAGAGAGAGAAAGAGAGAGAGAACCTGCCACAGAGGTCTGGGGGCAGGGAGGAGGGAAACTGGGAACATTGGTGATGGTAAATGTACACGATGAAGGGACGGGTATTGGAACATTATATAACTGAAACCAAATCATGAACAACCTGAACAACCTTGTAACTGTATAACACACTGTGGTTCAATAAAATAATTAAAAAATAAAACCTACACAAATTTAAAAAAGTAGAATAAATACATAAAAACTCTTTGAACTCTGAAATAGGGTTCGGGCAAAACTACAGCCTGTGAGCAAGGCCCAGCTTGACACAAGCCCATGTGTGTGGCCCTATCCCTAACCACTCAGTAGTTTTATATGCTGTGAAACGACCACCGTTTTTCTCCTGGTGAATGAGTTTTAAGAGGGCCTCGACTGCTTGCAAATAGGAGGTGCGGTATCAGCTGCACGGAGCGTGCTGTCCGTGAACTCCTCAGGACTGGAGGTTCACAGCGGGGAGTGAGCGTTGGACAGCTGGCGTTGGCCTTTGCTCCCCCAACCCCGGCCCCCCACCCCCCCACTTCCTGCAGCCTCGAATATGGTCTTTCTGTTCTCGGGCCTGGGTTTTGGTTTTGCTGCTATTTTGTTCTATGTGGGAGATTACGTTGTGTGTGTCTTTTTCTCGCTGAGTTATTTAACTTAGTGGGGAAAAAAGACCCTAGAAAGTTTTTCTGTATTTTTTTCTTTTAAAATACTTTAAAAACTTTTGGAATATTTCATGACATATGAAATGACTCTAAGTTAACATTTCAGCGTCCACAGGAAAATTATTTTATTTTCATGCTACTCATTTACACCTTAATTTTGGTGCTTTTGTGTTGGAGCCATAGAGAATGTTGGGTGTCTCCAAAGCTATAAATATGACTACTTGCTCTTCACAGCAAAGCAAAAGCTTGCCCTGTTATATCTTATTGTTGCCCGTTCAACAGCATCTAAATCTATGTATATTTTAAAATTGTAGCATTGTAGCACTGTCCTCCCGTTGTTCATCGATTTCCTCGAGCAGGCCCATTAACGTCTCCATTGTGAGGCTTGTTGTTACTGTGTTTGGCATATTGAATACATCACGGGTAGCTTGCCAGTCTTTGCCGTGTGGGCGAAATACTCTCAGTAGCTTGCCGGGCTCTCCAAGAGGGGCGGAGGAATCGAACCCAGCTCAGCTGGGCTGGCAGCTTGCAAGGCAGACACCCTACCGCTGTGCTATTGCTCTAGCCCTGATGTTTCCAAAGTTCTTCATGACTACGTTTTCGACCTGCAGTGTTCCAACACCAGTCCCCAGTCCGTTACCAACGTAAGCTTCCCTCCACCGCTGTTCCAGCTTCTCTCCCTGTAATATCTCTAGTCTTTTTTTAGTTTGTTTTAGCACCACACCAGGGGTGCTCAGGGGCTATTTATTCCTGGCCCCAGGCTCCCCTATCACTCCTGGTTTTGCTCCAGGAACCATGTGATGCTCTGAGACCTAGCCGGGCCTCCTGCCTGCTGTAATCTGCACTCCTGCCTGTGGAACGGTTTTTCTAGCCTCTGTCTCCTGGGTTCTTGTGCTTTCTAGGCATCAGAATACAAGGCTGTCATTTTTCCATTTCTGGTTTTTCCTTAAAAAAAAAAAAAAGTTGAGTGCCTCACTGGAACTCAGGTGGTGGCTGTGAGTTTAAAAGTAAAATGCAGAGTTTGCTGTTGCAACTTGTGCATTTGGCGGCCCAGAGCCGCCTTCCTGCCTCCCCGTCCTCTCCAGCAGAAGGGGCGGGGGAGGGGACACCACAGCCTGGTGGTAAAAATGGCCCATTTAATGCAGTGCTGCTAGCATACTCATAGAACATCTGAAGGAGGGTTGAGGTGAGGACATAGGTGTGATTGATTGTTTACATATGGAAATTTACACAGATAAACATTTGACAGAGGAAATTCTCTTGGGGAGACCAATTCAAGGAGACACTGTCTCACAGGGACATCAGCATTGCTTTTATCTTTCCCTTTAGTTGTATAAGTTATCAATACTTGCAGTTGTTTGGATAAACACAGTAAGAGACAAAGATCCCAACACTTAGTTCTCTGGGCTCCAGAGCAAGCAAGGCTTTTACCGTAAATCCCAGACTAAGTCCTCAGGCCAGTTCAGCTTGTCCTTCCCTATGGGGTCCTGTCTCTTAATACATAACAACTTGCATCAAGGCCATGCATTTATGCTTACTCCCATTTTGATGCTGGGTAACTTTGCCACTCACCCCAGATCCATCCCAGTCCCACGGTGGGACTTCCCTTTTGGGGTGTTAGGCACTACAGCAAGTGTAGCCTGAGTCAAGTAATTATGACCAACTAATTATGCCCAGGAGCAGATATATTTGAGAGTCAATCAACTGCCAAATATTAGGAGCGTAGCATTAATGGTCTTTCTGTGTTTAACCAAAGAACATTGCTCTATAATAAAATATAAAAAGGCTATAGGGGAAATAGAAAAGCAGGTACAAATATACAGCACTTCAAATGTTGGGATCGGGAGTTCCCTAGCCCTGGGAGGTGCGGAGAGACCAGATAGACACAATTCCTGCAGGAGTAAAAACGGGGTTTATTTAGACCAGCATGCTGGGGCTCTGCAGCGTACCCCAAAATGGGCAGTGGCTGAGAGCCCCGAATTTCTTCAAAGGGGATCTTATATAGGCCTTCACTGGCCATTACAGCAAAGCCCGCGCATTTCATAGCCAATAGATTTGTAACAACATATACTTTCTTAACCAATCCATTTAAAAGTACCTCACTCCTTAGCCTATAGATTCAAAGATCAGCATTTACGTACATCGATTGTCAGCACAAGCAAGGTTATAGCCGGAATCATTAAGCCTTAGGTAATCTCCCTTGACCATCCTCGTTTTGAGTTACCCAAGTCTACAGGGTGCTTTAGTGAGACAATACACTCCAAGAAAGGGCAATTTCCCCCAACCACCTGCATCCTGAGTTATCCTTTACCCAAATCTGCAGGGTGCTTTACTGAGACAATACATTTCAGGAACAGTAAATACACCTGAATCCTGTCACACTTGGTTTAGAAAGAAGTTATGCCCTGTTCACTTTCCAAGTCCCCTCTCCCCCAGGTGCAAAGCAGCCAAGCAGTTTTACAGAAAGCAATGTTGCGAGTTAGCTAAAGTACAAAAAAATTTGATGCCCTAATATGGATTCTTTCACAAATACAACTGTCACTGTCACTGTCCTCCCGTTGTTCATCGATTTGCTTGAGAGGGCCCAGTAATGTCTCCATCATGAGACTTTGTTGTTACTGTGTTTGGCATATCAAATACATCATCACGGGCAGCTTGCCAGGTTTTGCCATGTGGGCGAGACACTCTTGGTAGCTTGCTGGGCTCTCCGAGAGGGGCGGAGGACTCGAATTTGGGTCGGCCATGTTTGCTGCGTGCAAGGCAAATGCCCTACCGCTGTGCTATCGCTCCAGCCAACTTCAAATACAAAGCAGTACAAATACAAAGTTCAGAATTACCAGAAAGTTTTGACTTATAAGTTATCAATACCGACTTTGGGAACTGTGACAGTGAGAGGTAGAATACAAAGGGAAGGTTGAAGATAAGAGTTAGGGATGTTAGCAAGAGCATGGTTAGCTTATCTGGGAGGAAGAAAGGGGCAATTCACCAACACTTAGGGTAGATATCCAACAGTGGTCAGGGGTCCCTCCCAGGGATAGTCGGGCAGTCTTCAGTGAGATGTGTTCAGGCAGTACTGGACACTAAACTTCTTTAAGCCTTATCAGAAGGAAAGAAAGGAAAACCTGAAAAGACTCTCGGTAAGTCAGTAGATTTGGTAGTCAGGGACTTGGTCCTGAGGGAGCGTTGGTTGCCCCTGGTGATGCTGGTGGTTGAAGCAGGCGCACACCCTAAGTCCTGTGTATCCCCAGCCCCCAGCCTGATTTCTCTCACAAGCTTCTCTGGGGCCCTCTCCTGAGCCGGTCTCAGTGCAGCCTTCTCAAAGCGGCCACCTTCGTGCCCACCATTGTTGTGGATCTTGATCTTCCTACCTCTGTCTCCTCACGGCCACACTTCTTCCACTCCCTGTGGTAAGCTGCCAGTTAGCTCTTCTCTGGCTTGCAGTTCCTGTCACAGTCCTGCCACAGGGTAATGGAAGAATGGAACTTGACTCTGTAGCCCACCTTCCTATTTCTTTTCCCCTCATCTTTTTGAGATGCAATAAACATCCCATATCATTCACTCAATTAAAGTGAAGCAGTTGTGAGTTAACAGCATTGTTCATAGAGGTAAGAAGTCGTCAGCATGCTCATTGTAGAACATTTTCCTGCCCTAGGAAGAAACCGTGTTCCCATTGACTGTCCTCCACTCCTCCTCCCCTCCTCAATCTCTGGCATCTATGGCTCTACTCCGTGACTCTGGATCTACTTTCTGTCACTGCATCTACTTCCTGTCTGGATCTACTTCTTGTCTTCCTGTCTCTGGACCTACATCCTTTCTCTATACTTACCTCCTATCTCTCGATGTGTCTTTCTGGGCATAGCCTACGAAAGGCTATGTTGACTCCTGTAACAGATGATTTTTTTTAAGTGGGGATGTTTTCCAGAACTATTCGCATTGTAGTATTAGTGTCTTATTTCTGTTTTATTGCTGAGTGATATTTCAGTATCTGGATGGGACCATATTTTGTGTGTTCTTTCATCAGTTGATGGGCATTTGGGTGGTTACCCTTTGTAGCTCCAGAGGGCTATTAAGAAATTTAATAATAGTAGACTTTTATTTATTTTTAGTAGTAGCAGACTTTAAAAATTTTAGAATAGTTCTGTTTTTACAGAAATAGCTTTGTGTTTCCATGGAGGAAATAGTATCTCATGTCCTGCTAAAAATCCCCCTCCTTCTCTCTTTCTTTTACTATCCTAAATCAGGATGGTACATTTGCCACCTTCAGCAAACCAGATCATCGACATACTGCTGTGAATTAAACTTTGCCTTTCAGCTCAATTTCTTTAGTTTTTTTTTTCTGTTTTAGGATCTGACTCAGGACACCACGATATTTACTCGCCATGTTTCCTCAGGTTGTCTTTGTGAGACTTTTGGGTTTGTGTATTTTTGGTTTGGGGACCACACCCAGGGATGCTCAGGGGTTACTCCTGGCTCTGCACTCAGGGATCACTCCTGGTAGTGCTTGGGGGACCCAGTGGGATGCCAGGGATCAAACCTGGTTTGTTCACATTCAAGGCCAGCACCCACCCTACTGTACTGTCGCTCCAACCCCCTGTCTGTGAGGGTTTTCTCAGTCTGAGCTTTCATGACCTGAGCAGCTCTGATGGTTTTGGGTCTGTCTGGTCTTTTATGGGCTGCCCTTCTGTTGGGCTTCCCTGATGCTTTTCATGATTAGTGAAAGTAATTTTGGGGAGTTAGGGGTGAAAAGGTTCAGGAGGAAAATGTAGCTTCCATCATGGAACCCCACCTGCGTGGGTGGGGCCTGGCAGAGGGAGTCTGTTAGGTTTCTCCAAGGAAAGTTCCCTCCCCTACCCGACACTTCCCTGCGAGGATGCCTCATTTGCATCCTGGCATGAAGCCCGAGGACTCTGCTCTTCACCTGCGTGTTTCTGAAATGAACTTATTGCTTGTCTTGCCTTTCTGAGAATTTGGGGGCAGAGAGGGGTGGACACACTGGCAGTGCTCACAGGTTACTACTTCCGAGACTGCAATCAGGAATCACTCCTGGCAGGGCTCAAGGGACCATGTGGGATGTTGGGGATTGAACCGGAGTTGGCTGCATGCAAGGCAAGCACCCTCCCCATTACACTATTGCTCGAGGCCCCACTTTCCTGGGGATTTTTATTGCTCCTAACTTTGGGAATATTGTTACTGGGGCCTAGAGAGAGCTCAGCCTCTGAGCGCTGGCTATTCTGCAGGAGGACTGGGCTGGACACCCACGTGGAGCCCGAGTGGCCCCTGAACAGCACCCAGTGTGGCCCCCAGACCAAATGTTCCTGTCGGGGATGAATTCTCAGGGGACAGTAGCTGCATGATGCTCACCTTGCATGTGGCTATGGAGGCTGGAACCCTGGTTCAAATCCTTGGGGCCCATGGAAGGTCCCCGGGGCGCTGCTGTGGATCGCTCCTGAGCACCCCCCCAAAAAAGAAAATGGCGCTACCTGAAAGCAAATTTCATTCTGTAAAACTGCGATATCAGGGCTCCGAGCAGGGAGGGTGTTTGCCTTCAACACGGCTGACCCGAGTTCTATCCCCGGCACCCCATTTGGTTCCGAGCACCACCAGGAGTAAATCCTGAGTGCAGAGCCAGGAGTAATTCCTGAGTGTCACCAGGTATGACCCAAAAAGATAAAAAAAAAAAAAAAAAAGAAAAAGAAACTTGTGTTGTCTTTTATACACATCTGGGCCTGTGTATTTGATTTTGCAGCAATTGTCAGAAATCCAGAAGTCCAATATGCAGATCAAGTCCAACATAGGCACGTTAAAAGATGCACACGACTTTAAAGAGGAGCGCCCCCAGCACCCCCAGGACTTCCAGAATGTCATGCAGCTGCTGGACAACCAGGTAAGGCATGAGAGGGCCAGTCTTCTTTCTTTCCCTTTCTTCCTTCCCTTCCTTTCTTCCTTCTTTCTCTCCTTCCCTCCCTCCCTCCTTCCCTCCCTCCTTCCCTCCTTTCCTTTCCTCTCTCCTCCCCTCCTTCCTTTCTTCCCTCCTTCCCTCTCTCCTACCTTCCCTTCTTCCTTTCCTCTTCCTTCTCTCTTCCCTTCCTTCCTTCCTTCTTTCCTTCCTTCCTTCCTTCCCTCCCTCCTTCCTTCCTTCCCTCCCTCCCTCCCTCCCTCCCTTCCTTCCTTCCCTCCTTCCATCCCTCCTTCCTTCTCTCTTCCCTTTCTTCTCTCCCTCCCTCCACTCTTTCCCTCCTCTCCCTCCCGCCATCCCTCCTTCCCTCCTTCTCTTTCTCCATCCTTCCCTCTTTTTCTCCCTTCCTCCATTCCTGCCTTCCTTCTTTTCTTTCCTCTTCCCTTCCTTCCCTCTTCCCTCTCTCCCTTCCTTCTTCCCTCCCTTTCTCTCTTCCTCCTTTTTCCCTTTGCTCCCTTCCTCCCTCCCTCCCTCCTTGCCTTCCTCCCTCCCTCCCTCCCTCTCTTCCTTTCATTTTAGGTTTTGGGTCATCCAGTGGTACTCAGGAGCTGATTTCTGTAGCTCTTGGGAGCACTGGGAATTGAATCAGGATGCCAGGAATGACCAGTGAGCACATAACCAGGAATAAGTCCTGAGCACTACCAGTGTGTGGTCACACCCTCCCCCCCATAATAATTAAACAAATCAGACCAATTAAATAAATGTGGGTGGGTTTGCCATCCTACTGGAAACTGCCAGCTACAGTTTCATCACATAGATAGCTGGGTCTCCTGGGCGTCCACTGGAAAGGAAGTCAGTCCCCATGTTGGACAGATGTCCTGATTACAGTTGCCTGCAAATGACTGAGCTCTGCTGTTTCACAGGAAAGCAAGTGGAATGCCCGAGTTCAAGCTCTCCACCAAGAGCACAAGAAGGAGAAGAGCCGGGTAAGTTTCTGCATCCTCTGGCCTCAGAGCTGCTCACTTCTAAACACTGTTTGCTCCCTGACTAAACCTTTCGTATTTAAGGATTTAAATGCGTAGTAAGACTTATGGAGAAGCGAATGACAGCACAAAAAATGAGTTACAAGTGCAGTGTGGTAGCTGATTCTCACTTACTGCTTTGTTACAGTTTTTCTTCCTTCTGTTTTTGTCTATGCTGTGGATATCACATTTCTCTGAAGTGCAGAAACTGAATCATGGGGCAGATGGGTCCTAATATTACCTTTGATGTCTGTAACTTTACGTACTTCTCATCTGGTGTACCTTATAAACAGTCTTCGGTATTTCAAAATATTCTTCCGGGCTGGAGAGAGAGCCAGGGGTTAAGGTGCCCACCCCGCATGTGACCAGCCCAGTGTGGTCCCTGGCACCGCCCAGACCCTGACATCCCTGGGTAAAGCACCAGAGACCCCTGAAAGCCGCAAGCACTAGCTAGTGTGGCCCGGGTCATCCCCTGCACCCCAGCGGTGCCCTCAGACCTTCACATTGGACTGCCCGTCTGGTCCGCAGAGAATCTCTGGTGGGGTGTCCTGAGTGCCATGTGGGAGACCCCCAAAACAAGGAGAACCAAAAAGAAAATGTCCCGGTTAGATAAAAGAGTCATCAGAATTATGCCTTTTTTAAGATCCTCCTCATGAAACCCGCCGAGGCCCCCCTAAGCCCTGATTGTTGCGAGGCTCCATCTCCCAAAGGCAGTGAGGAGGCCCGTGAACATTTGGATCAAAACACCAAGAATGAGGGGCAACTGGGTGTGGACTCTGGGGTGTAGACTTGGGGAGTCTGCTCCGACTCAGACCCCAGGCCCTTCTTTGCCTCTACTGCTCTCTTTCCCACGCTGCCCATGGCCACCCCACCCAAGGCCACCCCACCTGACGCCAGGCCACATGAGGCCATGCTATCTGAGACCACCCCACCTGAGCCCACCCCACCCGAGGTCACGCCACCTGAGACCACATCACATGAGGCCATGACACCTGAGGTTATACCACCCAAAGCCACCTGATTCACCCTACTCGAGGCAGGCCACATGAGGCCATCCCACCTGAGGCGACCCCACCCAAGGCCATGCCACCTAAGGCCATGCCACATGAGGCCACTTCATCTGAGGCCAGGCCACATGAGACCATGCTATCTGAGGCCTTGCCACCTGAGGTCACCCCACCCAAGGCCACCCCATCTGAGGCCACACCACACGAGGCCACACCCACCAAAGGCCATGCCACATGAGGCCACCCCACCTGAGGCCAGGCCACATGAGACCATGCTGTCTGAGGCCAAGATACCCATGGCCACCCCACTCAAGGACACGTCACCTGAGACCACATCACCTGAGACCACATCATGTGAGGCCATGACACCTGAAGCCACACCACCCAAAGCCACACCGCCTGAAGCCACCCCACCTGAGGCCACCCTACCTGAGGCCACATCACCCGAGGCCATATCACCTGAGACCACATCACCTGAGGCCACATCATGTGTGGCCATGACACCTGAGGCCACCCCATGTGAGGCCACATCACCTGAGGTCACATTTGCTGAGACCATGACACCTAGGCCACCCCACCTGAGGTGCTTCTCCCCCCCACCTCTGCATAGTTCCCCTCACTCCACAGGGTGACTCTAAGTCTGGGACCTGCCATAGTAATGGAGCCTTGTCTGCTATCTCGGGTTCGATCCCCAGCAGCACAAAATCAATGAATAGTACAAGGGTGGCTTGCATCACTATTCTGAAGAATGCACGTGCTTATTTATTATTCTTGTCTGTAGCTGTCCATCCATCCAGATGGCTCACGCCGGGGCTAGGGGGATGGTGGTGGTCTCTGTCTGTTTAAGCCTGAGCTGCGTCCCCCAACCTCCAGCGAGTTGGTGGGAAGAATATGGGATTCTCCAGGGGGCCACCAAGAGGATTGTTGGACCTTTCGTTGTTTTTTTTTTCCTTTTGGGTCACACCGACGATGCATGCACTCAGGAACCACTCCTGGCGGTGCTCAGGGAACCATATGGGATGCCGGGAATCGAACCCGGGTCAGCCGCGTGCAAGGCAAATGCCCTACCCACTGTGCTATATCACTCCAGCCTGCTGTTTTTTTTTCTTTTATGTTTTTTCTTTTTTTTGTGATTCCCAGCAGTGCTCAGGGCTACTCCTGGCTCTGTGCTCAGGGACCCCATGTGGTGGGTGGGTCAGTGTTCCAGGCTTGGCCTAGGTCTTGGAGCATCGCTCTGGCTTTGGTTTGCAGGTTTGGCCTTGCTGACAGGCAGGTTTGGAAAAGCTTTCAGGGAGCCAGAGCCCCGTGTCTGTGTCCAGGACACAGTGGTGTTCAGGGAATCATGCTCCCTCTCCCTGAAGCCCAGTGTCCAGCACAGGGCAGACGATGTCCAGCGGCTACCCAGGGCAGCTGATGTTCATGGGCACATTTTTGTTTTTCTGTTTGGGTCACACCCGACAATGCTTAGGGGCTACTCTCGGCTCTGCACTCAGGAATTATCCCAGCGGTGCTTGGGGGACCATATGGGATGCTGGGGATCGATCCTGGGTTGGCCTTGGGCAAGGCAAACGCCCTACCCGCTGTGCTATTGCTCCAGCCCCAGTGAACTGTCTTTGCTCGGAGAAGAAATCAGAAGTCACATTAGGTCCTTTTTGTTTGTTTTGTTTGTTTGGGGACCACATCTGGCAATGCTCAGTAAAATTTATGGAATGAGTTTCACCTGTGGCTCCTGAAAGGGTGAGAGAAGGCCCCAGGGATGGGGGGTGCTTGCCGTGCTGCCCGCGTGAGATGTGGCCTGCCGCTAGGCTATGCTGCTCCCCTGGCTGTTGGTCTCGCCTGGCAAGGAGTTGCCGCTCCTTCCTCCCTCTCCCTGAAGCCCTAACAGAGGGATGAATTCACCCAGGTTGGGTAATCTGTGTCCGAGCCCTAACTATTCATTATTCCACATGATTGGTGCCTGCTCTTCCCACAATGCACGTATTGTGTTTCTCTGTGGAAGGGAAGTTGCAGTTGCCAATGTTTTATTGCTTTACCTAAATTCTTGGCAGTCTTTGTTTTTTAAATAACAGTGGTCAGAGTTCAAAGGGAGCTGCAGAGAATAGGGGGGTGTGCCCTTTGACCCGCAGATGATTGTGGGATGCCACACTGGGGAAGGGAGGAGGGGCTGGAGGTGAGGGGGACCCAGGGAGAAGAGTCCAGAGCCCTGGACATGATAGAGGGTTGTAAGGGCTTGGGTTCAGGGGCCCATGAGTTTTTGCCTGGCCCTCCTGTGTTTAGAGACTCACGCTGTTTTTCACTCTTTTTTTTTTTTTTTTGCACCACACCTGGCGATGCACAAGGGTTACTCCTGGCTCTGCACTCAGCAATTACTCTTGGTAGTGACCAAATGGGATCCTGGGAATCGAACCCAGGTCGGCCGCGTGCAAGGAAAACATCGTACTTGCTATACTATTGCTCCGGCCCCTGTTCTTCACTCTTGACTGTACCTTGCTTCATTCTCAATTCACAGACCCAAATGGTATACCACCTGTTGATTTTTTTTCTAGGTCCCATTTCTTGTTGGGGTCCCGTCACTCTTGATCCAAAGCTGCCACCCAGACCCTGGGCATCTTTCTTTGGCTTTTCCTTCTGTTCCCCCACCCCTCAGCGTGGCAAGAAGGTTGGACAGGCCCCTGACTGCATCCTCCTGGTGCCGAGTTCTTGCAGCTGCTCGCTTGGAAAAAGTTCTTGGTCCTTAATCTGACATCACCCAGCCCGAGGTGACCTGCACGCTGTGACTTTTGGCGCTGCCATCTGTTGCTGGGACGTGCTGGCTTCTTATTGTTCCTGGTTGTTTTTGTGGACATGGGCTATTTTTAGAGCCCTCTTAGGGTCACAGCACAGCTCAGCAGAGAGTTCAGAGAATTTATAAGCACCCCTGGCCCCAACTCTCAGCATTCTCCAATACGGTGCAGTTACCACAGTCAGTAAACATCTATGTCAGTAGTCCCCGGAGTCTAGAGTGGACTGTAGGGCGTCCTCCGGGCAGTGGACATCCTGTGGGTTTTCTGCGTACTTGAATGGTACATGATGGTATTTGCCCATTTTTTTCAGGATCTTGCATTTACTTTCCACACTCTCTTTGATCTGTCTATTCATTCCTCCCTTCCCTCCTTTCATTTTTTTTTGTTTGCTTTTTGGGCCACAGTCAGAGATGCACAGGGGTCACTTTTGGCTCTGCACTCAGAAACCACTCCTGGCAGTGCTCAGGGTACCATATGGATGCTGGGGATCAAACCTGGGTTGGCCGTGTATAAGGCAAATGTCCTATCCTCTGTACTATCGCTCCAGCCCCTCATTTTTCCCCCAACTGTTTCCACTGTTCTTTCAGAATGTCGGATAGTCAGAATCCTATAGGATCCAGGCTTCCCCGACTGACCCCATCACCCAGCAGCATGCATTGAAGGCTCCTCTGAGTCTTTCGTAGCTCGGGCTCATTTCTTTGAAGTCCTGAGTTGTAGGCCATTGTCTCTACGCACTGAGGTCAGTCTGTCCACTCACCTATAGCTGGACCTCTTGGTGGCTTCCAATCTTGGACAGTTATGAATAAAGCTGCTCTAAGCATTCATGTTCAGGGGTGTGTATGTGTGTGTGTATGGGGGGAGGGGGTTTGGACTGGGGGCCAGTGCTCAGGGATTATTCCTGGCTCTGTACTCAGGCATCACTTCTGGTAGGTTCGGGGGGGGCCATACCACTATAGCACTGTCCTCCTGTTGTTCATCGATTTGTTCGAGTGGGCACCAGTAACGTCTCACAACAAACTGTGAGACTTATTGTTACTGTTTTTGGTATATCGAATACCTCACGGGTAGCTTGCAAGGTTTGCCGTGTGGGCGAGATATTCTTGGTAGCTTGCCAGGCTCTCCGAGAGAGGTGAAGGAATCGAATTCGGGTCAGCTGTGTGCAAGGCAAACGCCCTACCCACTGTGCTATCACTCCAGCCTAGGGGGACCATATGCCAGGAATTGAATCTAGGTTGGCCATGTGTAAAGCAAGCATCTCACCAATAGTACTCTCTGTCCCTTGTTTATGTTTTTATTTTTTCCCCATGGACATAAGTTTTCAGCTCCTTTGGGTAAATATCAAGAAATACAGTTTGGGAACTCTATTGAGAGTAGGCTCAATTCTACAAGAAACTGTCTTCCAATCCGCTGCTACCATTCTGGATCCCCAGCAGTCAAGTACGAGTCCCTCTTTCTCCTGCCTTCTGGCTTTGGTGCTGCTTGTGCTCTGGAGTTTTGCCCATCTTACGAATGTGACTTTTGCCCATCCCGAGGGAGACTGCATGGTTTCATCTTGTAGCCGGGTAGCATTCCATGATGCACCGCTACCTTTGTTTCTTCATCCAGTCATTAGTCTGTGGGCACTTTGAAAACCAGCGCTTGAATCCCTTGAATCCTCTTGGTCCAGTATTTGATCTCCCCAGCTGTGGAGTCTGTAAAGATGATCGTGAAAATTCTCTGGCCTCTGCGTCTCTCCCTGCCGCCTCCTAGCTCCTGCCAACAGTGGCTGAGTAGTGGACATGTGCTAAGGGCCAGAGATGGGGCCACTGACTGGGCATATGAAAGTAACTCAGGAGAATTTGAAGGGCAGTAGGGGGGCGCGGGCCTGGGGTGAGGCCTGGATCCTGCTCGTGACTCACGCCTGTGTCACTACACATGTCACTGCACATGTCACTGCACATGGCCTGCGAAGGGTCACGCAGTTTCCAGTGTCTGTGCTACTCAGATCCCTGGCAGTCCCAGGTTCCTGGGATGTCGTAGGGGGTCGTGAGTGGAAGGAAGTCAGTTCTGAGCATCAGGTGGACGCAGGCCTTCCCCGACTCTCTCGCCAGCTCCTGTCTCACATAGAGAAGCTGCGAACCTCCATGATCGACAACCTCAATGCCAGCAACGTTTTCTACAAGAAGCGGATTGAGGAGCTGGGGCAGCGGCTGCAGGAGCAGAACGAGCTCATCGTGTCCCAGCGGCACCAGGTACCAACTGCACCGTCGGCCCCGGCATCTTTCCTGGCACCGTCCATAGCCTCTGAAGGCCTGTTTGGTTTTGTTAGTTAACAAGTTTATTTTTGTTTATTTTATTTTTTTTTTTGTGGGGCGGGACCACACCCGGCGATGCACAGGGGTTCCTCCTGGCTCTGCACTCAGGAATGAGTCCTGGCGGTGCTCAGGAGACCATATGGGATGCTGGGGATTGAACTCGGGTCGGCTGTGTGTGAGGCAAACGCCGTTCCCACTATACTAAATCTCTAGCCCTGTGTTTTGTTTTGTAGAGCATTTGTAAATCAAATGAAATAAAGATGGTGAAATAAAGATGAAATAAACATTTCATCTCCTTCGTTTTATGCATTACATTTAGTTGACTCGATTAATTTTGTTGGATCCAATAATTATTATTTTTTTGGTTTGTGGGCCACAAATGATGGTGCTCAGGGGTTACTCCTGGCTCTCCACTCAGGAATTGCCCCTGGCAGTGCTCAGGGAACCCTATGGGATGTCAGGCTAGAACCCACGTCAGCTGCATGCAAGGCAAATGCCTTCCCTGGTGTATTACTGCTCTGGCCAAAATAAACTATTTTAAAAGCATGTTAAAATACTGTAGAATACTGTAGAGTAGGGCTTGCCATTCCATATGGTCCCACGAGTATCGCCAGGAGTTATTCCTGAGCACAGAGCCAGGTGTAAGCCCTGAGCACTGCCAGGTGTGGCCCCAAAGCAAACAAGCAAGCAAAAAAAATACTATAGCACAAGCTGGTTTATTGACTGAATATTCCGAATAACTTTGGAGATCGGTAAGAATTTCTTTGGATAATCCCTTTGAGGCATAGCCAGATACAAATGCAACTTTTCCAGATTCTTTGGCCCCCGATCGTGGGAGCCCAGGCATCTTGGAGAATCTGGAGAAGATGAGACCTTCCTAGCCACAAAGCATGCCCATTGTTCGGTGTCTGCTTTGGGCCATGTTCCCTAGACTGACCTTACCTTTTCTCTGCAGATTAAGGAGTTCTCCAGTAAGCCGTTCAGCAGTGGCACCGAATTCAAAGGTACGTGGACCCGGAGTCCTAGAGTGGTTTCTTGTGACTCACAGGTGCAGGGGCCATCTCTCACCAGGGAATGCCAAGAATTACGAAACCACAGCCCCAGGAAGGGCCTTTGCTGTTTCTCCCCCAGCCCAGCAGACCTGCTCCGTCTGGTGGGAAGTTGGGGTGGGGCCTGAGAGCTCGGGGTTCAGCTCCCATCACTGTGGCTCTGTTCCCCGTTCCTCAGCTCTAGGGTGGAAATGGACCTCACCTCGTCACAGGCCGGTCACCAGGGTCCAATGGGAGGTTAGGGGCAAAGTCCATCTGTCCAAGCTCTCTCTGGAGCCGTGTGGTTCCCCCAAGCACCACCAGGATGGACTCCTGAGCACTGAGCTGGGAGTAGCCCCTGAGCACTGCCAGGTGTGCCTCCCCCTAAATAAAAAACATACACTCACTGATGTTTCTTTTTTGGGGGGCCAATGCCTAGGATCATATGGGATGCTGGGGACACTCCCTGTTGTCCGTGTGCAAGGCAGGTGCCCGGCCACAGTTCTTACCATGACGGTCACCTCAGCTTCATCCTGGGAACCACAGAGACCCTCTGCCCTCTTTTTGGTGTGTGTTTGGGGTGGACGGCAGCTCCTGAACCCCGTGGTGCCCCCAGAGCCCCCAGCTGCAGCCCCACGCACCCACCCCCATCTCTGTCTCACTCAGAAACTGACCTGGAAGGGAGGGTGGGAGCAGCTATGAAGCTGAGACGTCCTGTTTGTCCTTCCCTCCTTCCCTTCCTCCCTCCCTTCCTTCCTTCCTTCCTTCCTTCCTTCCTTCCTTCCTTCCTTCCTTCCTTCTTTCCTTCCTTCCTTCCTTCCTTCCTTCTTCCCTTCCTTCCTTCCTTCTTTCCTTCCTTCCTTCCTCCTTCCCTTCCTTCCTTCCTTCCTTCCTTCCTTCCTTCCTTCCTTCCTTCCTTCCTCCTTCCCTTCCTTCCTTCCTTCCTTCCTTCCTTCCTTCCTTCCTTCCTTCCCTTCCCTTCCCCTCCCTCCCTCCCTCCCTCCCTCCCTTCCTTCCTTCCTTCCTTCCTCCTTCCCTTCCTTCCTTCCTTCCTTCCTTCCTTCTTTCCTTCCTTCCTCCTTCCCTTCCTTCCTTCCTTCCTTCCTTCCTTCCTCCTTCCCTTCCTTCCTTCCTTCCTTCCTTCCTTCCTTCCTTCCTTCCGTCTTTCCTTCCTTCCTTCCTTCCTTCCTCCTTTCCTTCCTTCCTTCCTTCCTTCCTTCCTTCCTTCCTTCCTTCTTTCCTTCCTTCCTCCTTCCCTCCCTTCCTTCCTTCCTTCCTTCCTTCCTTCCTTCCTTCCTTCTTTCCTTCCTTCCTTCCTCCTTCCCTTCCTTCCTTCGTTCCTTCCTTCCTTCCTTCGTTCCTTCCTCCCTCCCTTCCTTCCTTCCTTCCTTCCTTCCCTCCCTCCCTCCCTCCTTCCTTCCCTCCTTCTTTCCTTCCCTCCTTCCTTCCTTCCCTCCTTCTTTCCTTCCCTCCTTCCTTCCCTCCTTCCCTCCTTCCTTCCTTCCCTCCTTCCTTCCTTCCCTCCTTCCTTCCTTCCTTCCTTCCTTCCTTCCTTCCTTCCTTCCTTCTCTCCTTCTTTCCTTCCCTCCTTCCTTCCTTCCCTCCTTCCTTCCTTCCTTCCTTCCTTCCTTCCTTTCTTCCCTCCTTCTTTCCTTCCCTCCTTCCCTCCTTCCTTCCCTCCTTCCCTCCTTCCCTCCTTCCCTCCTTCCTTCCCTCCTTCCCTCCTTCCCTCCTTCCTTCCTTCCTTCCTTCCTTCCTTCCTTCCTTCCTTCCTTCCTTCCCTCCTTCCCTCCTTCTTCCCTTCCTTCCTTCCTTCCTTCCTTCCTTCCTTCCTTCCTTCCTTCCTTCCTTCCCCTTCTGGAAGGACTCGTGGGAAGCATCTCTTTTGGGGGAGCTGCTCCACAGCGGTAGGGCGTTTGCCTTGCACCCAGCCAACATGGCCGACCCGAGTTCGATTCCTCCACCCCTCTTGGAGAGCCCGGCAAGCTACCAAGAGTATCTCGCCCTCACGGCAGAGCCTGGCAAGCTACCTGTGATGTATTCCATATGCCAAACACAGTAACAACAAGTCTCACGATGGAGACGTTACTGGGCCCGCTCGAGCAAATCAATGAACAACGGGAGGACCGTGACCTACTGTGACCTAGTTGGAGAAGGTGACAAAATAGAATGCATATTTGTGATTTTTGTGATGGATTGGTTGTTGTTGCCGTTTCAGGGACTCCTTTAAGCTGGCAGCCCTTTGAACCGAAGCTAACTGCCCCGGCTATACCCAGTAAGTTTCTTGCTTTGGGTTAGTGAAATTTTTTGATTTGGGAAAATAGGAGAGTTACACGGTGCAGAGAGAACACGGGCCTCTTCAAAGCAGAGAGAGCTGAGAGCCTGCACCTCAGGCTGGTGTGCAGGTGAATCCTGGGATGCCAATATTGGAATTAGTCCTGACCTCATTAGTTTCTAGAACAGTCTTGGGGACCTCAAGACTTCTTTGTAGGTGCTAGTCAACCAATATATAACCCCTCTGTGTCATTTTAATGTTATTTGTGTGGGTTTTGTTGGGGGTAGGGTAGGGGTATAGCCAGCAGTGCTCAGAGCTTACTTTTGGGTCTGTGCTCAGAAATCACCCCAGCAGTGCTGGGTGACCATATAGGGTGCTGAGAATTGAACCTGGGTCAGCCACAGGCCATGCGCATGCCCTACTCTCTGTACTATCTGTCCCCGCCTGTGTGTTATTTTTCAAAAGCTTTGACAAGCATGTTGGGGGATACAAAATGATCCACTTCAACTCTCAGCTCTCACCTGGGTCCTGGGATCCAAGATCACAGGGCCCGGAGAGATAGGACATGGGTGAAAGCACTTACCTTGGCCCACGGCCAACCCTGGTTCAGTCTTCACCACCGTGGAGCCCAGGGCCAGGGGAGACCTCTGAGCACAGAGCCAGGAGTGGCCCCCGAGCACTGCTGGATTGGGCCCAGATAGAAAACACTGTAACTGCACGTCATGGTGATTCATTAAAAAAATTAAAAAAAAATTAAACACACACACACACACACACAAATAAATAAAACCCAAGATGTAAACATCCAGGTGGTTCGGGGGTGGCTTGGGCTAAGCAGCCTTGTTCTTTTTGCAGCCTAGTCAGGGATGATTAAAAATTCTCTGGCCTGGCTCCAGCTGGCTGCTTTGGGGTTTCCTGAGGCACTGCATCATGTGAGGCTTGCAGCCGAGCTCGGTGGGGGCCCTGCGTGTAGGCGTTACTGGCTCCCCGTCTGCCTCCCAGACCTCTCAGGAGTCAGCGTCCATGCGTGGAGACATTCTCCATTCCATTTCGTCAACGGACGTGCTGCTTTCCTGCTCTTGGCTCCCCATTCCGCCTCCTTCCCTCTGCTGATGTCTTTGCAGTGACCGAGGGCTGACTGCATGGTGCAGCTCGGGGGTTCTACCCCAAACAACTGTGGTGCTTGCACACAGCACAGTGCTGACATGTCCTGGGCTGTGCTGCAGCCCGAGAAGCCTGTCAGTGCCAGGGTCCTGGATGGCGCCTGTGGGCATCACCGGGCATCGGACTCACATCTCCATGAGCTCAGCGGGTGCTTTGGCAGTGAGGCCCCACTCCGGGCTTCTGTGTCCTTACTGACAAGATTATTGCAGTGCTTTGCAGTGCTGTTCAGGATGGCGGCAGGAGGAAGAGGGATGGTGGGCAAGAGAGGCTGGGCCCAGGACGGGACTCTGAATGCCAGGGGCAGCTTGGACAGAAGCCACGACCTCCAAGGTTGATGCCGTGCCCGGGGCCAGGAAGGGGTGGCAGTGGCGGGGGGGCGTTCCCATTGGGGAATGATGTGGCCCAGTTGGCTGGAAACTGCTCCTGGTGTCCATCCTCTCCCCACCCCCCGCAACTCCTCAGCTGCCTCTCTGACCTCGCGCCATTGTTGCCAGAGCTCCAGATGCCGAGGGGCAGAGCAGGAGGCTGGGGCTGGATGGGCCAGAGCCGGGCCATGGCAGAGTAGGCTCTGGGTGTCCTTCTGAGAGGAAGAAAAGCAAAGGGAAACACACCTCAGAGAAGGATGCAAAGGCTCACAGACGCGGCATTCGTATTCTGTATGTTTTCGAGACACTTGACACGATTCTGGAGTGTTCCCATAAAACTCTACATAGGGACCCAAGAGAGCATAGTGGGGAGAGTGCTTGCTTTGCACGTGGCTGACCTGGGTTCAATCTCCGGCACCCCATATGTCCCCTGGGCACTTCCAGGAGTGATCCCTGAGTGCAGAGCCAGGAGTAACCCCTGAGCATCACCAGTGTGATGGAGCCCCCTTTACTTACAGAAACGTGTGGTCGGACTGGCAGACCCCAGGTTAGAGTTTGTCAAGTCTCTTTTTTATTTGTTTGTTTGTTTTGGGGATCACACCCAGCGATACTCAGAGGTTATTCCTGGTTCTGCACTCAGGAAAAACTTCTGGCGGTGCTCAGGGGGACCATATGGTACATGCTAGAAATTGAACGCAGGTTGACCGTGTGCAAGGCAAACACTCTACCCACTGTACTATTGCTTCAGCTTTCCTAGAGTTTGCCAGGTCTTGATGTGGGTTAGGCAAGATGTGAGTGGATTGGATGTGAGCGGGCCAGTGGTCCAGAACTGTTGATAATTTATCCAGAGTTAGGAGTCCAACGTTTTAGCTGTGGCCAAGGTGTACGATGAAAACCTGTGGCATGTCTATGCAGGTGGCTGGGGTTGGTGGCCATTATTATCAGTTTTTTTTGGGGGGGCAGTAAGATAAGAATTAAGGATCTAGGGGTCAGAGATAGTCCAGAGCTAGGGTGCTTGCCTTGCATGTCGCTGACCCTGGTTTTAGTGCTGGGAATAGCACCTCCATGTACTGGGTGTAGCCTCAATTCCTCTCCCTGCCCCCCCCCAAAAAAAGAGGAATTAAGGACCTAGTTTAATCAACTAGTGAATCATGAAATGAATTAACACATGGAACAGACAGGAACAGATGAGGAGGGAAGGAAGGCTGTGGAATGGGAATGTTCTAGATCAACTTTACTTTTTTTTTTTGGAGGGGTCACTGTTGATGCACAGGGGTTACTCCTGGCTCATACTCTCAGGAATTACCTGGCCGTTCTTGGGGAACCACATAGGATGCTGGGAATCGAACCCGGTTGTCCACGTGCAAGGCAAACACCCTCGCCGCTGTGCTATCGCTCCAGTCTCTGGATCAACTTTAAAACAGGAAACACGTGCCTCTTCTTCCTTCTCCCCTGGCTGCCCTCTCCTCTTGCGCCCACCGAGGGTGGAATCCAAGCCACCTCCTGGTCTCCTCCAGCCCAGGGCCTGGATTTTTCATTTGAATTTTTTTGGTAAATCGTCTTTATTGTCCATGAATAGTCACAGCCTCCTTGTTCGGAAAAGCCGGAAGCCCAGCGTGTTGCCAAGAGGCGTCCGCCCAAATGCCCATCCACGAGTGAATAGCGAGAGAAAATGTGATCCAGCCATACTGGGCCATGTTCCCGGGCCTGGAAAATCCACAGGGACGCTGACTCATGCTGGCCCCAGGGGGAGCTTTGAAAACACGAGAAGAAGCATGGGGTGGCGCTGTGTTGGTGACCACCCCAGAGCAGGCAGATCTGTGGAGAGAAAAAGCAGATGAGAGGGTGCCAGGGACTACGGATGGGATGGCACGAGCAGTGACGGCTAAGGGGGGGCCACTGGTAACACCCCCACAGGCAGGCAAGTTTGCTTTTTTTTTTTTTTTTTGCTTTTTGGGTCACGCCCAGCGATGCTCAGGGGTTACTCCCTCCTGGCTCATGCACTCGGGAATTACTCCTGGCGGTGCTCAGGGGACCATATGGGATGCTGGGAATAGAACCCAGGTCGGTCACGGGCAAGGCAAAGTCCTTCCCTGCTGTGCTATCGCTCCAGCCCAGGCAGGCAAGCTTGGAAGGGAAATATTCCCGCAGGAGCTCGTGACTCGCTCCAGCTCCGAGAGCATTGAACTTGGCAGCACAGCAGTGCGATTCCACTCAAGCCCACGGAGCCATCTATCACCCAAAGGGCCCATGTCAGTGCAGCTGTGTGGGCTAGGGAAGCTGGGAAAATGCTTTCCGTTCTGTGTTTCATCCTAGTGTTCGATACCACTTCCAGCTCTGTACTGGCATGGATCAGTCCTGGCAAGATCCAGACGGGCCGGGGGATGGAACCCAGGGCTCCTGCCTGCAGAGCCTGTGTTCCATCCCTTTATCCAGTTGAAACCGTTCCTCTCTGACTCTGGGAGAGTGACCCCTCCCTCTACCCCAGGAAGAAGAGCAACGGGTGTGCATTGAGGTGGGCTGTGAGCATTTTTGTTAAACTATCCCGAGATCTTGCCAGAGGAATTACACAAAGACAAGTTGTGATGCAATAAGCAAAGGGTCTTTATTGGCTAGCTTGAGCTAGGGCCCTCATCCAGTTCACCGACACAGTGGCAGGGTTCTCAGAATGAGCAGCCCCAAGTGAGGGACTTTTACAGTGTAACATTATCATAACAGAGACTTTCTACCGATCACCCTTTTGGCTGCAGCCTGAGGGCTTTCCTCTACTTGTCCTTAGCTGATTGGTTATAAGTCGGAGTCACTAAGGGTTGCATAAGAGTTCCATAAGGGTTCTGTAGCAGGGGGCTTCCCTACCTGCATCTGATTGGTAACCCTTCGTTGACTTCACCATGGCTATCTCACTTTGGGGAAGTCATGACTCAATTCTAGGTCTCTGTGCTCAATTCCAGGAATTCTGGAACCAAAACCTAGGCCTAGCTTCTTCTGGCTGCTTTGTGAGCCTGTCATGGCGCTGCCTTTGCTTCTCTATCTCTCATTTCCTCTTTCTGCTGTTTCAGTGCCCGGCCCGGCCCCACCGACTGTGGACATGAAGCCAAGTCTGACCGTGGCACATGGTGAGTTTGGAGGACAGTCTCGCGGCTCCCGTGTGGCCCACAGTAGATGACTTATTAACTGGAAGTGTTTCTGGGCAGCGGGCGGTGGTCATTAGGCAGGACAGGGCCCGTTTGGGTGTCTGCAAAGATCGCTGGCAGAACCAGAGCTGGATGTGCCCCGCCCCCCCGGGCCCCCCCAGAGTCACAGAGAAAGAACAGGGGAGCTGGACCCCCCAGCTCAAGTGCCTAACAGTGCGTCCCACTCGGGTGGCGCTGGGTCTTTTAGATGGGTAAGAGGGTGGCTTTCTCCCAGACCAGCCGACCAGCACATGCCACGGGGCATGTGTGCTTGTTTTGATAACTTTCTCGGTGGCAGCCAGTCGTCCTTTTTAAAACACAAACAATGAGAGCCGTTGGCTGAGATGCCCGAGCAAAGGCACGTGATGGAAACCACCGAAGGTGAAAGAGAAGGGAAGCCCAGAGGCAGGAGAGCGCCCCAGGATTCTGGGGTGGGTTGGGGGGAAGGCTTGGCCCCAGGGGTGAGCATTGGTTATCAGGAGGGTGACTGCAGTGTGTTGCAGGAAACGTTTGCCTGTGGTTTGTTGTATCAGTAAAGCTCATGAAGGCAGGGGGAGCCCAGCTGTTCCTGAGCTGTCTCGCCTAAACTGCTTCTGGAGTTGAGTGAGGACTCCATCCCCTGCTTGCTTGCTCTGTGCCTTCTCATTTGCCTGTGGCCCTGGCTTCTTCAGACCGTTCTTTTTGTCTTGACAAATCAGGTTCTTGGTAAATCAGGTGGTCCGGCCTTTTGTAATTATCCTTCTTGTTGACTGACCCGGCTTGTGAGGTGTTTAATGCCTTTTCTTTCCCCCGCCCCCCCCCCCCCCCCCCAGCATACTAAGTAGACCAGTCCCCTTGAGTTTGCATTCACCCCTCGTGCATATCCTTCACCCTCTGCCGCTCCGTATTTCCAATCTTATAGTGCGTGGAGTTCTCTGTTCTTGCAGCCAGGAACAGAAAAGTGTGCTGGGCCCCAGTCCATCTTCTTTAATGGTGACTGCACAAGAAAACTGCTTGTGGCAACTGTTGTCTATTCCTGTTACTCAGGTAGATTATTCCTAAAATATCTGTTCCCTTCTTCTGAGGGGGTCGACTTTGTGTGAGGTATGGCTGGATACTTCTGTTTTCCAGCTCTGCATTTTCGTTTTTTTTGCTTTCTCCTTTGTTTGGGTCAGCCCACTAGTACCTACAGGCGTTCGACCACGCCCACCACAGTTTGGTTTCACTTGGTTTTACTTGTTGGGTGCCCAGCAAAGGACACACACAGTTGGCATGTTCCTGGGCTTCGCCCCAGGGTAGAAACAGATGGGGTGGGGGTGGGGAGGGCGTCTAAAGCCTTTGTTCCCAGTGGATCCTGCCCTGTGGGCTCTGGGCTGAGTGGATCAGCCATGCCTCCTTGCTGGCATCTGCAGGGATTGAAATGCTAGTTTTAAATGCCAGCCAAGAACTGGCAAGGGGCCCTTCCTTGGACCGCCATCAAAGCTGGTTTGGGAGTATCTCATTGGGCAAAGCAAAGAGCAGTCTGGACCAACCCACTGGCCCCCCTCCCCCACCCACCCGAGGCAGCATCCCCAACTGCCCCTGTCAGGGGCAGGTGGGGGGGGGGAGGAGGGTTAGTCCCTCGTTGCGTAAGATGAATTACCCCAATTACCTCCCTATCTCTCCTCTCATCCCACCTTAAAGCTTGGTGAGGTCCTCTGCCATGAAAAACGCAGATTACTCACCCTCTTTGCTTGGGTCCCCTGGGAGCCAGGCTCCATGGCTGAGCTGTGCCATGTGGCGGGTTGGTTGGGCAACTATCTCCCAGTACCACCAAAGAGAAAAAGAAGATGAGGCCGGAGGGGTTGGTAACTCTCGGGGGTCTCCGCAGAACCTCCCCTGGAGCTGTGGCGCTGACATAGTCCTGTGAGGAGGTTTCTAGATCCAGACCTTCTGAGGTCACGTGTGCGGGCCCCAGGGAAGAGGGCCAGGGCATGCTCCTCCCTCCCTGTTAGCCAAACAAAATCAGAAGCAGTCACCAGGAAGGGATTAGACGGGAATGGATGGTGCCAGTGAAGTGTCTGAGGTTGAGCTTGAAGGAGAGACTTGAGGGTAAGGAGGTTGGGTGAGGATGTTTATGTCCCCCTCCAGACCCTCAAAGCTGTCCCACCATCGTACACCCACAGAAGGGTCTGGAGGAAGGACAGGTGCTTAGCCTGACCGGGGTTCTTCAGAGAAGCAGGAGCTGGGGAGCCCTGGGGTGACAGACCCGGTGAGATTTCTCACCCAGGACTCAGGACCGCAGTGATGGGACCAGAGGGAGTAAATCCATCGGAACTAGTAGAAAGACAGCACTGGTGACATGCTCATGTACTAGGGGGTGGTGGTGGGATGGGGGCCTGCCTTCCGAGGGTTCCAGAAGGCAAACCCAGCCACTGCCGAAAGGAGGGAGTATGGCTTCGTGGCCAAGGGCTGGGGCTTGGCTGATTTTGTTTTGGGGTGTGTGTGTGTGTGTGTGTGTGTGTGTGTGTGTGTGTGTGTGTGTGTGTGTGTGTGTATCAAACCCAGGGCCTCCAGTTGCTGAACCAGACACAGGCCAGCTGAGGGAGGGCAGGAATAGCCACTGTCATGGAGCACAGGGAGGATGGGCCGACTGCAAGAGGCAGCGCCCGATTGGAAGAGGACCCAGGGAGTGGGCGTCAGCCAAATATTTTCTTCTTCGGTGGGCAGGAGATGGTCCTGCAGGTGAGCATGTGGGAGAGATGATGGGGTTGCGATCCGGGTGTTTTTCTTCTGGAGGTCATTGCCATACAGATTTTTTTCCCCTGAAAGATTCTGGCAGATCTTTTTTTTTTTCTTTTTTGGGTCATTCCTGGCGATGCTCAGGGGTTCCTCCTGGCTCTGCACTCAGGAATTACTCCTGGGGGTGCTCGGGGGACCAAATGGGTTGCTGGGAATCGAACCCAGGTCGGCCACATGTAAGGCAAATGCCCTACCCACTGTGCTATCACTCCAGTCCCCCTGACAGATTTTAAGGGGGAGACTCAAGCCTTCCCATCTTCAGCTCTCAGCCTGGAGATCTCAGCCCAGGACAGGAACTGGGCAACCTTTTGGGGATGGACGCGTGATTTCTCAAGCATGAGGAAGGAGGCTCTTTGTCATTCCCTCCCCTGCACCCCCCAGCCCTGGGGTCACAACCCCTGCTTCTTTAGGGACTGGAGCGATAGCACAGGAGGTAGGGCGTTTGCCTTGCACATGGTTGACTCGGGTTCGATTCCCAGCATCCCATATGGTCCCCTGAGCACCTCCAAGGAGTAACTCCTGAGTGCATGAACCAGGAGCAACCCCTGTGCACCACCGGGTGTGACCCAAAAAAAAGCAAAACAACAACAACAAAAAAAGTCTGCTTGTTTGGAGAAGGGGGTGCGGTCTGGTCCTCGACCTTCATTGTAAGAACCAGGTGACCTTATCTTCTTACTTCACCTTCTCACTCCCAGCACCCCATTCCCCAGGCCTCAGCTCCACCACAGAAAATGTCAAAATTTTGACACTGTGTCCTGACTCCAGAGGAACAGGCCAAAAAAGTATCGTCCCTTAATATCATAATACTAAACAGGCAGGTGATGATTCAGATTATTCGTGCAGCTCAGAACTGGTAGTCATTCCCATAGCAGACAGTAAAATATAATCCAGGCAACTTTTTAAGACATTGAAAAGATTCTTTTTTAAAAAGCAAAATCTCGAAGAAATAGAAATTAGTTACAATCCTTTTACAATCCTATTTATAGGACCTCCTCCATTTTAGCCTCTTGAAATAGTTCGTTGGTCTAACTTTAAAAAAAAAAAATTGATGCTTGGGAAAACCCAAACAAAACAAACTAAAAATAATCTTGATGCTTGGAGCCAGAGAGATAGTACAGTGAGGAGGGTGCTTGCCTTGCACTCAGTCAACCCTCATTCAATCCTCAGCATTCCAAGCCCCATCAGGAGAGATCCCTAAGCACAGAATAAGTCCTGAGCACTGCCATTGAAAAAACAAAAATCAAACGGAGTTGGAGACAGAAACATTCCCTTTTACTCTCTCTCTCCTTTTGAGTGTTATGATTTGCAATACAGGCACTAAGCAGCCATCATGTTTGGTCCATAGTCTACTTTCAGCACACGTCTCCCATCCCTATCAAGCCCTCCAAGCATCATTTACTTAGTTGTCCCTTCTCTATTTCACCTGCCTTTTTCCCCCAACATGTGAGGCTGGCTTCCAAGCCGTGGAGCGATCTTCCTGGCCTGCCACAGAGGCGGGGGGTGGGGGGGGTGGTGGAGGGGTATGCGGTGGGGGTGGCGGGAGGGAGGATGGGAACATTGGTGGTGGAGAATGGGCAGTGGTGGAGGGATGGGTACTCGATCATTGTATGACTGAAACGTAAACACAAAAATTTGTTAAGTCTGTAACTGTATCTCATGGTGATTCTTTAAAAAAACAAATGGAGTTGAGAGATAGCATAGCAGGGAGCGCCCTTATCTTGCACGCAGCAGACCCTGGTTCAATCCCTGGCATCCTATACGGTTCCCTAGCACTGCCAGGAATGATCCCTGAGTGCAGAGCCAGGAGTCACCCCTGAGCATCCTGGGTGTGGCCCCCAAACAAAACAAAACAAAATCAAGTTTATAATAAATAAGTGCATAATCTTGATGCTGAATTGCACCTTTAGACGTGCTGGCCAGTGGCTTTTTTTTTGCATCTATGAGCTCATGTGGGTTTCCGCTTCTGGGTTCCCCGAGGTCTTGTTTGGGCAGCGTCCTCTGCACAGGTCCCAGATGGTCTGTGTGAGATGTGCTTACTAGGTGGATGGCCCCTCTGTAGGCGTCAGTGTGTGTCTGTACCAGACACAGGTGTGCACACGCGTCTTTCTGTGCCCATAGTCCCCTTCCATGAGAGACAAGCTGCCTTCCATGTGTAGCGCTCAGCCCGAGACAGTCTCGCAAGTTTGGAGCCACTTGCTCTGGGATTAGAACCTGGGGCGGGTGCTGCATGCATACTCCAGACATTTTATCTTTTGGTAGGGGAGGGGCCTGCACCCAGTGATGCTCAGGGCTTACTCCTGGCTCTGCGCACAGGAATGACTCCTGGCAGTGCTCGGGGGACCCTATGGGATGCTGGGAATCGAACCTGGGTCGGCCGTGTGCCAGGCAAGTGCTCTCCCCGCTGTGCTCCAGCCCCATGCTCCAGATTTTTGAGCCATCTCTCCGCCCTTCACTGAGCTTCTTGTCCTTTTTGCTTGTTTTTTGTTTTGTTTTGTTTTTGGTCTGTACCTGGCGGTGCTCAGGTCTTATTCCTGACTCTGTGCTCAGGGATCACTCCTGGCAGGTTCAGGGAACCTTTGAGATCCTGAGGTTCAAATCCAGGTTGGCTGCATGTAGGGTAAGTGCCCCTGCTCACTGGACTATTGCTCCAGGCCCTCACTCAAGCACTTCCATCTGCACCCAGCCACCTGATGGGTGCTTGTCAGCCCTCTGGGTTCCATCAGGGGAGGGGGAGCGAGGTCACCTCCATTTGTGGGCGGGGACGCTCTGCTCAGTCTTCATGCCCCTCCCAAGGCATTTGCATTTCATTCTTCTGCTCCTGGCTGCCTCAGTGACCTTCTGCCTAAAACTGGCCTTGCACAGGAAGGACCTGGCGGTCGGGAAAGGAATGAGGGTCCTGGTGAAGGGAGGCTTGTGGGCACCCCAGGACACTTAAAGCATCTGTCCTGGGGTGGGGGCCACTGGGAAATCTCCATCTGTCCTCCCTGCAGCCTTTCCTGGTGGCAGAGCAGGGTCTCAGACGCAGAGGGGGCTGCCTTGGAATAGCTTTTAGTTTCGTGCCAACCTTGGTGTCATCTGTCCCTGCCCCATTCCCATTCTGGTTCTGCTACAAAGACCTCAGAGCTGTCAAGAAGAGGGAATTCCAGTGCCTGGGCATTTACAGATAGAGATTTTTTTTTAATTCTTTTATTGAATCGTAATGAGACACACAGTTACAAGAATGCTCATGATTGTGTTTCAGGCATATAATGTTTCAACAGCCTACCCTTCACCAGTGTACATTTCCCACCAACAGTGTTTCCTGTTTCCCTCCCACCCCCCTCCTCTACCTGCCGCTATGGCAGGCACTTTTCTTCTCTCTCTCTCTCTCTCTCTCTCTCTCTCTCTCTCTCTCTCTCTCTCTCTCTCTCTCCCTTTCCCTCGCTCTCTCCTCTTTCCTTTTGGGCATTCTGGTTTGCAATACAGATCCAGAAAGGTTCCCATGTATATACAAAGAAAGATGTTCTCACCTCCAGGAACTGAGATCTTCTCAATCATTCACTGTTTTAGCCACCAGACTGAACGATTTTGTCAGGTTCAGCAGCATCTTTCATGAAGGAAGCACTTTGAGTGATGAGTCAAAAGATCCCTTAGGGGGTGTGTGTGTGTGTGTGTCCTTGGGCCTGCAGGAATCACAATGGGTGCTGGAGGCGATCAAGTGGGAGACTTGAACTTCGCACACGCACAGTCGTGGGAGATAACAGAGACAGGGAAGGCGCTTTGCTGAGGTTCTACAATCTTCCACTCGTCCGCGCTTGCTATTTCTGCTTTTTGGGTCACACCCGGCGATGCTCAGGGGTTACGCCTGGCTCATGCACTCAGGAATTACTCCTGGCGGTGCTTGGGGAACCCTATGGGATGCTGGGAATCCAACCCGGGTTGGCTGTGTGCAAGGCAAACGCCCTACCCGCTGTGCTATCACTCCAGCCCCTGCGCTTGTTGTTTCAGGCCCAGTGACAAAGCTGTGGGGTGTTTCTCTTTCCCGAGTGTGTGTGAGGAAACTGACTTAACTTTGCCGTTGTCCTTTTGTGCTGTTCTTATTTTTCCCTTATTAATAGAGCAGACATTCTCATCACACATACTGGAACCAATAGAAGAACTTTCAGAAGAAGAAAAAGGTAACGAAGGATTTCATCAGGATTTATCCTTGTGAGGCTGATGTTCCCATGCAGACCCCCAAGCCCTGGCCGAGCCTGTGGTCCAGTGATTTCTGTGCTAAGGTCAAAATCAGGGCAGACGTTTAGGTTCGGTTTCTGTGGGGGTCCCTCAAAAGCTTCCTTTCACAGTGGATATTTTTCAAACCTCATCAGTATGAAATGAGAATGCGTCAAGTGCTCCTCCCCCAAATTATTTTTAATAGCAAGGAAAGCATCAGATTGGAGTTTCTGATGAAGAATATTTGTCTGTGGAATAATATCTATGTGGTAGAATTTGGGTGGTGGTACAGGTTTAGGGAGATAATGACGATTATTGCTAAGTCTATTTTTTGGGCAGTTATAAATTTGATTTTCTATCCATTTTTGTGATTTATGAATTTTTAAAAACATTATAAAGAGAAGCTTCTAATGCTAGACTTGCTGGATCAACTGTATTTGTGATTTTCTCATTAGCCATAATAATGCTTTATGTATCTCTCTTAAGAAAAAGCAAATTGTTACTATTTATGTGGGTCTGGCTTGGTCATTTTTGTTAGGTATGTAAAACGACATTCTAACTGTTCCTACTTAGAATTTCTATAATTCCTATGTTCTCTGGGTTTCGTTTTCAACAAAAAAATAAAGTTTTACAAGGCTCGCAAATTGAGAACTAAATCAGGTACATTCACAGTTTCTATCATGATAAGTACTTTCATTTTGCCTGTAAGTAACAGGCTTTTCTGACTCCTATAATTACCCTTTATTGATGTCTGCTGCATGAAGTCCCTCACTCTCTGGATAATCCACGTCAAACCTGTCAAACAGCTCCCAGGAAAAATCCAACATCTTGAAACCAGAGTCTCGGGCTGTCTAGTTCACATTCACTTCATGCTCGAGGCACTAGGTTTCAGGGAGAAACATGATGACCCACCTTCAGCTCCCCTGTGGCAGGATCCAGCTACTGCGTCCCCTACTTGGGCATCCTTGAGTTCTCCAGGTGACATCTGGTGTGAGTTTGAGATCCATAACCGGCAGACACTGTCCAAGACCATTGTCAGGAACTAGGTTGGGAAAGAAAATCATTGTCACCCTCCATGTCTCTCACACGGCTCTGGAGGGTGACTGGAGATTGCAGAGGACCTAGCAAAGCACCCCGGAGCCCCTGGGCCCTTTGGCAGAAACACGTGACCACCTCTTCAAGGCACACCGCAGGGAGCCAGCCCGCTGGGCAACAGTGATGAACGGAAATAACATTCCTGAGTTGGCACCATTTTGCATATGGCCACCCAGCTAAATTTTGGCAATCGCTGGCAAGAACCACCCTGGCGAGGACTTAAGAAGTGACACCCTTATGTGGATCTCTCTCAGTGGTGACTGTTTTGATGTCTGTGCAGAGACATACTTGGTGGTCATCTTCTGCAGGTTGTTCAGTGTCACGACCCAGAGGGACCTCAGAGGTCCGTTGATCACTCCAAAGCTGCAAACAGCAGGATTGAGAGCCGGTGCCCCATCACCAAGTTCCCTTCGGAACAAAGCTGGAACTGAAAGAACAAAGTGATGTCCACTAGTGGTCTTGGAGGAAGTCCCTTTACCTTTCTGGTTCTGTGTCGTGGCTCGTGACTAAGACAGACAAAGCCTCTTTCAACTCAGTTCTAGACTTTTTGTTTTGCTTTGTTTTGTTTTTAGTATTTTACTTTTTGCTGGTGCTAGAGTTGTTTCCTCTAAGTGCTGTGTTGTCTGTGTGATGTAACTGGTCCCGTGTGGAGGCTCTTACGCACCAGCCATTTATGAACACGCTTACCTGTTTCATTAGGAGAAACATTGACCGCTAAAAAGCCATTTCTTGATCTTGGTGTGAGATTTGTGTGACGGCTGAAAACCACAGCAGTTGGCTTAGAAGTGATTCCATTTTTTCTAGCTTTTACCTAAAATCTTTCTTTCCCTTCCTGTCCACTCCACATGCTTCCTTTCTGTCCCTTGCTTTGGCCAGCTTGAGCCTTGCGAGAGGTCTTTCCTGCCAGGTTGTCCCAGCGATGCCTACATGATTTCAAAGCAGGCACCAACAGAGAGTGCAAACTGGAGGGCAGAGACAAATAAATGTTTCATATGTGGTCATGTTTGGGGAAGCCCGTCTTCAGAAGGAACTTAGCACTCTGGATTCAGGATGAACTGGGGACCCGTCAGCCCATGAAAGCAACTACTCGTGGCTCTTCCAAAGTGTGGCCAAGTCATTCTCGGCATCATTTAGTCACATTACCCCCTCTCTCCGCTGTACAGTTCCTTTTATATCCGAGATATCACCCCCTCCCCCAATCATTGATCGGAGCCCAGGGATGTGTGATGCAAGAGGAAGAATGCGTGTCTGACAGGTGGGGGGCCCTGAGTTTGATCCCTGGCACTTTCCGTTCCCCTCAGCACCCCTGGGTGCGCCTGGGAGCCCCCAAGCATTGCCGTGTGAGTGTGGCTCCCATGAGAATAACACAAAACCCACGACGTTGGCCAGCTCAGGCCCCCCCTGCCTCCCCCGCTCCATCTGGGTCGGAAGCTCTAGGTTGTTGTGGAGTGGGCAGCAAAGCCACTGTCCCCCTGCTCTCAATCCGGAGGGGCTTCCTCGGACCCCCGTGCCATCCTTGCTGATTCCAGAACATGAGAAGCCTGACAGGGGGAGGCCATGGCCGAGGATGGGGAAATGGGGACGTTGCACCCAACTTTTGTCGTGACCATTGTTGTTGTTTCAGGGGCCACGCCTGGCCGTGCTTAGAGGCCAGCAGGGCCCCGTCCGGTCGTGCTGGGGGGCCAAGTGGTGCTGAGGATCCAACCCAGGGCTTCACGCATGCCAGGCATGTCTCTACTCCCCAGCTCCCCTTTCGATCACATGAACTTTTACGATTTACAGCTTAGCCAACTGCTTACTAAGCAGACTATGGAAGAACATCATCCTGTAGAGTTTCCCCTCCCATATTTTAAAAATGATGATACCTTTGCATTCTGTATTGTGCCAAATGACAATAATATTTTTAAATAGTTTCTTTGGGGGGGGGGTTAAAGATTTGAATGCTTGCTTGCTGTTGAAAATTATGTGCTTCCCCTGTTTCCTGCTTAGAAATGTCATGTTTTTTTGTTTCGTCCTCTTGAAAGATTTTTTTCCCCTACCCCTTATTTCAGGAAGGGAAAATGAGCAGAAGTTAAGTAACAATAAGATGCATTTAAGAAAAGCTCTGAAGAACAACCCCACCCTCACCAAGGAAATAAGAACAGTGCTGGAGCAGAGCTTGGTGGAGAAATTGGAGTCCTTGGGAATTAATGCGGTTAGCACACTCATCTTTGGAATATTTGTTAGCTTGGAGTTTTTTTTTTTGTGTGTGTGTGTGTGTGTGAGTGGGTGTGTATTTGGGGCAGGGGAATGAGCCACCCTCTTTTAGCTAGGCTAGCCTAACGTGATGATTTTGTTTGGTTTCCTTTGGGAGTCACACCTGGCAGTGCTCAGGACTTATTCCTAGGTCTGTGCTCAGGGATTACTCCTGGCAGTGCTAGGGATTGAACCTGGGTCAGCCGTGAGCAAGGCAATAGCCTTACCCGCTATATAATTTCCCCAGCCTGTAAATGATGATTTTGTACCTGGAAATCATGTGAATTAAGTAGCAGAATCTGGCTCTAAACCTTTGGCTCCTGCATTACCTGCCCGTGTGTGTGGTGTATATAAGCATTTGTACATACCCAAGAATGTCTGTGTATATACATGTGTTAGTATCACGATCATGACCATCCTGTTATTCGTCAATTTCCTCAAGCAGGCCCCAGTAATGTCTCCTTCGTCCTACCCCTGAGATTTTTTTAAAAAGTGCCATATTCAAGGCTCTTTCAGAGTTAGGAGAATGAGACCCATCATTGTTACTGGTATTTGGCATATTGGGTACGCCACGGGGAGTTTGCCAGACTCTGCTGTGTGGGCAGGTTGCATTCGGTAGCCTGCCATGTGTTAGTATATGTAAGTATAATTGTATATAGATAAGTATCTATACACGTGTGCCTACATTTGTGTCCAGATGTATATATATATGTACATATCTCCACACAGATGTAGATTCTATATGGAGGTTTATGTGTACACACGTGTATGTATATTATTGTAGCAACACTGGATCAAGAGCTTGATCATTTAAAATAATCCCTTGGGGCCAGAGTAATGGTACAGTGGGTAGGGGACTTGCCTTGCATGCATCTCACCTGGGTTCGGTCCCCAGTACCTCATATGGTTCCCCAAGGGACCAGAAATGATCCCTGAACTCAGAGCCGGGGTAAGCCCTGAGCATCGCCAGGTGTTGCCCCCAAATCAAACCAAACCAAACTCCAAGTACTCAATTTCTTTCCGACCTTGTTTCCTTCCTCTTCCCGGCCTCCATCCACCTAATTAACCCCTCCATCCACCTAAATAACCCCTAATCTCATGCCCAGCTGCTCCATTTATGTGATTTTTCTTTTTTTTGTTGGGGGGGGGGGGGGGGAGTCATCACTATGCACAAGGATTACTCCTGGCTCGTGCACTCAGGAATTACTCTTGGTGTGCTCAGGGGACCATATGGGATGCTGGGAATCGAACCGGGGTCAGCCGCATGCAAGGCAAATGCCCTACCCACTGTGCTCCAGTCCTCATTTATGTGATTTTTCACTCGTGGTCCCACCAAGGGTGACCCACCAGGGGCCCATTTGGGATGCGCTGATTGAATTCGCTGCTCGGAGGGGTCTTTGCTCTTTCCTTCATGGGCTTTACTTCCTTGTTTCTCCTCACTTGGCACCATGCAGCCTGGCATGGGTCCACATCTCCACCTTTGCCCTTCATCCGTTCTGCCCTGGCACTGGCCAGGTGCCTTTTGGGCAGCATTACCCTGGGCCACAGGGAACCAGGATGGTTCGCTCTGTGTTTTGGTGCCCTCCCCCCCCCCCCCAGGCGGCAATATGGCCGAAAAGGTTGGCGCCACTAATGCCAGCAGACATCCGAGATAAGAAACATCCCAGTGCCACCGGGTAACTAAACCCTTTACCCCATCAGGGTGTCCGAGGCATCCCGACCGATCACTTGAACAGAGTGTTGAGGGCCGTGGAGTCGGCGCGGCTGGAGAGAGAAAGGCAGATCCCTAACATCCAGCACATCCGGGAAGTCCTGGAGCATCAGGTCAGCTGTAAAATTGAGGAGAGAGCCTCGCTGTCTTCCGGTAAGTCTGTTGCTCACCAGAGGGGAGTGACCTTGACCCTCAGGAGGTGGAGGTGTTCTCGGGCATCGACTCCTGGTGGGCAAACTCTGTGATGGTTAGGCCAGCCTTAGATCTGGTTCCCATCAGTACCAGAAGCCCTGTGGGTGGATTCTGGGGATGGCCTTGCCTAGGCCGCGCAGACCGTTCTGTATTCTGCTTTCTTGTCTGGCCAGAAAGGCAATGGAGACACGTGAGTGACACCGCTGCGGCCATCCATGGGTGTGAGAAGCACAGTGTCTCCCAGACGGACACTGCATCCACAGGAGAGATCCCTAAGGCGGCACCGCTAGCGCCCAAGAACAGACCGCTGCTTAGACAGAGGCCAGTGTTCACAGATCGGACGGCCATTCCAAAGTGAGTATTTGGAGTCCCCTTTAAAGAATTACTATGATTTTCTTTTCTTTTTGGATCACATGCAGCAATGCTCAGGGGTTACTCCTGGCTCTGCACTCAGTAATTACTCCTAGAAGTGCTTGGGGGATCAAAAGGGATGCTGGGAATCGAACCTGGGTCGGCCGCATGCAAGGCAAATGCCCTACTCACTGTACTATCACTCCAGCCCCAATTATTAGGATGATTAATGTTTGCCTTAATTTGGGCGACTCTAACAAAATACCCCAGGCAGGTAACTCACAAAACAGCCATTTATTTTCTCACCTTTCTGGAGCTTGGAAGTCCAAGATTGGGGTTTAGGTCTGTCGGGTTTTGATGGAGGCCTCTCCCTGCTCCTGTAGAGGACAGATTTCTTGGGGTTGGCATCAAGAAGGGAAAGATACACTGATGGGGGATCTCTTCTAATAAAAAAAAAAAGAGGAAGAAGTAGGGGTTGGGTACAGGAGAGGAATAGGAAGAGGAAAGCGGGATAGAGGAGGAAGAAGAAGGAATAAGGGAACAGGGGAGGTGAGGACCACTGTCCTCAAGGACACCTGTTTTTATGATTCCTTCTAGCCCTAATCACTTCCCTAAGACCTCGATCCAGACACCCTCCCGCCCTTCCCCCCACTCCCCGCAGCTTGGAGACTCAGGACCTCCAAAGGTGAATTTGAGGGCCACAGACTAGCCGTGCACACAGATGCTTGGCCCGCTGGTGACCCCCTCCCCCAGCCATTCCTCCCCAGTCTCCCACTGGGACTGCACCCACGCCTTCCCCCCCCACTGATGTAGCTTCCTTTGCTCCTGGCCATAGATTTGAAGCAAAGATCACCCGTTCTAAGTGGATGAGAAAGTATGGTGAAGAGGGCACTTTCCTTGCACGCAGCCCATCCTGGTTCAATCCCTGACACCTGATACTGTCTCCTGAGCACCACCAGGAGTGATGACTAAGCGCAGAGCGAGGAGTGACCCCTGAGCACTGCTAGGTGTGACCCCAAAACTAAAGCACCAGCTCCGTCCTAGGGCTGAGTGACTTAGGTCGTTAAGAAGCCAATCTCTCTCTTCCAGAGTTCCTAAGAAAACGAGCACAGAAGATCTTATTCCCAGGAAGTCTTCAACCTTGACGTGAGTCTGCTGGGGGTCTGGAAGGGGAGCTGGGGGAGGTTTTCAGATTCTTCTCACTGCACCTTCCTTTCCTGGGCGGGTGGTCGCAGGCATAGTGATTGACGGAAGCCAGCCTTCCCAAATGACACAGTTGATGATTCCTTTGTGACATGGCTGCATGTCTTTCCTGGACGTCATCACATTGTCACCTCCACTGAGAGGTGAGACCCCACGTGAGTCACTTCCAGGTTCTCCACACCCCCATGCCCATAAACATGAGAACCGACAGACTGAATGAATGACGTTGAGTTTCAGTGACAGGATAGAGTAAATCACTTTAATACTTTAGTTGATAAGAGTTGATAAGGGCTCCACACCTTTGTCTCTTGGGCTCTGGGAGGCTATTAACATCCTAGTCCTTGGATCAAGAAACTTGGTACTTATACACAATGGAATACAACTGAACTGTAAGAAAAGATAAAAGTCATAGTTGGCTACAACGTGGATGGATGTGGAGAGCATCGTGCTGAGTGGAATCGGCCAGAGGCAAAGGAATAGACTCAGAACGATCTCTTCTCATCTATGGGATATAAAGAAACCTCATGTGGGCATATCAAATGCCTAATGGCAATAGAGACAAAGAGCTGGAGAACTGGTCTCAGTAGGAAGCTAGGCACTGGGGCAGGGGTGAGGGGATAAGTCAGGGAAGGGGACCTAGGACAATAGGACAATGAGGGAGGGGAAAAGTGCCAGCCACAGACGGTGGGGTGTGGATGGTGGTGATGGCAGGGGAGGACAGGAGGGAAGCTGGGGACATTAGTGGAGGGTAGTGGGCACTGGTGAAGAGACTGATGTTGGAACAAAATCTTTGCCTAAAATTCAACCATTAATAATAATGATAGTAATGATAATAATAGTAATTAATAATCGATGATCAAATAATGATAATAATAATAATAATACTAGACTCCTTGCCTGAGGCTGGAGAGGGAGTGCAGGGGTTAAGGTCTGCCTTGCAGCCACTTTGATCCACTGTACCATGTGGTACTCCAGCACTGCCCAGGCTCACTCCTGAGCACAGAGCCAGAAACAGCCCCTGAGCACCACAGGATGCGTCTGACCCTCCAACTCCTTCCAGCTGCCCTCCTCAAAAAGAAAAGAATCCTAGCACATTTCCCTGCCCTACTTTTAACTGTGTCAATCTCACTTGTGAGCCTGCTCAAAGCTTCGGTTTTCTTGTCTTGAACACAGGATGATGCCATCTTATTTGTAGGATAGTTTTACAGATGAAATGAGGACTTAGGGAGATAAATGGGCGCAGTTCTTGACACTGATGGGAAGTCAGCAAATTGTGGGTTTATTGGTATGAAGTTTTGGTAAGACTAGCTTTTCTTGGGGCCAGAGCGATAGTACAGCAGGTAACTGTGTGTTGGCCTTGCACACAGCTGACTTGGGTTTGATTCTCAGCATCCCATAGGGGTCCCTGAGCACTGCCAGGACTAATTCCTGAGCATAGGGCCAGGAGTAACCCCTGAGCATCTCCAGGTGTAGCCCCAAAACAAACAAGCAAAAAGACATGCTTTTCTCATAATTAAATTTCATCTTATTTCTTTTTTCCCCCTTTTTATTGATTCACTGTGAGATACAGTTACAAAGCTTTCATGTTTGAGCTTTGGTCATACATTCATCAAACACCCATCCCTTCATCAGTGCACGTTTTCCACCACCAAAATCCCCAGTATCCTTCCCTCCCACCCACCTCCCCATTCCAACCCTTCCCCTGCCTGTGTGGCAGACAATTTCCCCCATACTCTCTCTCTACTTTGGTTACATTCACTATTTTGACACCAGTCCCAGCACCACTCAAATGCTAGACAATCTTTTTTTTTGCCTTTTGGGTCACACCCAGCAATGCTCAGGGGTCACTTCTGGCTCTGCACTCAGGAATTACTCCTGGCGGTGCTTGGGAGATCATACAGGATTCCGGGGATCGAACCCGGGTCAGCCGCGTGCAAGGCAAATGCCCTACCCGCTGTGCTATCGCTCCGGCCCTAGAGAGTCTGTCTTGCATTGCTTGTTATCATCCTATTCTTGAATGATTGATGTCACGGATTGGTCCTTGTTGAAGATTGTGTGCATATTACCCAAATATTTCTCTATGTATTACACAAACGTTTCTGTATATTACATGCAATATTATATACTGTATAAAGTAGAGTAGAGATAAGAGTTCGCTCCAGGAAACACCACCTCGCTGTCTTCTGGGAGCTTTGTTTTTCCTGGACCTCTTATACTCTAGCCCACTGATGTACTTCCTCTTGGAGAGCCTGGCAAGCTACCAAGAGTATCCCGCCCACATGGCAGAGCCTGGCAAGCTACCCGTGGCGTATTCAATATGCCAAAAACAGTAACAATAACGGGCCTCATTCCCCTGACCCTGAAAGAGCCCCGCCATACGCCATTGTGCTCTGCTAGCACACGACAGGGACAAATGGAGTGGTTACTGGCACCTGCTCGAACAAATCGATGATCAACAGGATGACAAGTGACAAGTGACAAGAGTAGGGATACATTAATATTGTACTCGTCCAAAGCACTTTCAGTGTAAATAATCTCCTGGGAAGGCCTTATGCCATGGGATACAGTATACTGAACAATGTCGGGAATTTGGGTGTCCAGTGAGTATTTGGGAGTTGGAAAGGAACCTTACCAAGCTGTGCCTTGGGAGCCTTCAGGGGCTCCTCCAGTGATACTCATCCACTTGGATGGTCCAGTGCTCAGGTCCTTGATGTGACTTGGCTCCACCAGAGCCACACCAGGTGATGCTGAGTGGGGATGGGAAGGCCTCCAGGCCCCCAGGGCTGTACCTGGCTGAACGCTGGGGCCAACAGTGTCAGGAGTTGAACACAGGGGTGTGTCCTGCTTTATTTCCTCAATCCCTCAATTAATGCTTTAAAATTAATGCATGCTTCGAGAAACTGCTTTTGTTTGTTTGGTTTGGGGGCCACATCTGGTGGTGCTCCAGACTTCCTCCAGGCGCACTCAGGGATGACTGCTGGTGGTGCTCAGGGGACCTTTGCTTTGATCGTCGTGGGGTAGAGCATTATTTGATCTCTGTGCTGATGCCTCCATGTGTTCGTGCAGTGAGAGCCACTTGGCCACAAGGTAGAATTCTGTTGCTGTATCAGTTGTGAGATCTGATTGGCCAAGATTTTGCTGAGGGTTTTTGCCTCAGCATTTCATCAGAAATATCAATCTATGGTTTTCTTTTTTCTTCTCTCTCTCTCTCTCTCTCTCTCTCTCTCTCTCTCTCATTGTCCTTGTCTTATTTGAGCATCAGGAAAGTGCTGACCTCTTAAACTGTTTGGGAAACACCCCCTCCCCCCACTCTCCTTTGATTATTTCAGGAAGAATTTGAGAAGGACGGGGATTATGTCTTCTTTAAAAGTTTGGTAGAATTCACTAGTGGAAGCCACTGGGCATGAGCTCATTCTGCATTTCTCTTCTGCTTCAAAGAGGGGGTGATTATTCATGGCTAATGTCAAGGAGATCAGGCATGTAGAGCGATAGCACAGCGGTAGGACGTTTGCCTTGCACGCAGCCAACATGGCTGACACGAGTTCGATTCCTCTGCCCCTCTCAGAGAGCACGGCAAGCTACCGAGAGTATCTAGCCCGCACGGCAGAGCCTGGCAAGCTCCCTGTGACGTATTCGATATGCCAAACACAGTAACAATTCCTTCATAAGGGGAAATAAAAAGTAAGCTATTAGTCATGACAATAGAAGATGGGATCATTTCCTGCCCAAAAGGACCCGGACCCACCCCCCACCCCCACTAAGAAATATTTTCCTTAGATGTGTGAAAACCAAGTGTAGTAAGAACATACAGGGGCTGGAGCGATAGTAGACCAGGTAGGGCGATTGTCTTTGTACGCAGCTCACCCGAGTTCGATTCCCAGCACCCTATCATATGGTCTTCTGAGCACGGCCAGGAGTGATTCCTGAGAGCAGAGCCAGGAGTAAGCCCTGGGCACCACTAAATGTGGCCCCCAGACAGCAACGAGAAATCCAGTGTTGGGTTTTAGAGAGAAGTGGCAGGACCCAGGCTACACGGCTGGCAGGTCTGGCTTTACCTGTGTCCGAGTCGGTGGTCTGTCCCTTGTTCCTGTGCTGTTCATTGAGCTGTCGAAAGAGGCTCATCCTCGAGGCCAGAGCGATAGTACAGTGGGTAAGATGTTTGCATATGGAAGACCTGGGTTTGATTCCCAGGATCCCATACGTTCCCCCCAATACCTCCAGGAGTAATTCCTGAGTGCAGAACCAGGAGTAACCCCTGTGCATCGCCGGGTGTGACCCAAGAAGCAAAAAAAAAAAAAAGTCCCCTTCTCTAGTGATCCTGAAACTTTTGGAAACGGCACCTACCCACTTCCTGTTTGGATCCATTTAGGACCCCTCCCTTCAGCTCCGAGGAGGACCTGGACGGTGATGACGACTTCATCCAGGCTTACGTGTCCCCGGTGACCGTGACGGTGCAGCCCGCCAATTCCACCACCAGCAACCACTTTGGAAAAAACGTGGTGAAGAGTGACACTGACTGGACTGAGGGCAGCGAGATGGAGGATTCGGACCTTTCCCCCAAACCCATGGGTGAGTCAGAGCCTCTGCGGCCGCTTGGGGGATCCCGGTTCTCAGCCTCGGGGCAGCAGGGTGTGGTGTCCCAAGCTGGGAAAGTGCTAGAGGGAGAGGAGGGGCTGAAAGATGCCTGGGCTGGGACCCCGCACTCATGCTGACACGAAGAGGGAGGGATGCCCAGGGGACACTCACATCCTGAGGCTGCAGCGACAGTGCAGACACTCATGGTAAGCTTCCAACCACTGCAAATGGGCCTTTCAGCAGCTGGCACTTTGGCCTCTTAAATTTTTTTTTTTTTTTTTTTTTTTTAGTGAAACACCATGAGGTACACTTGTTGACCTTACAAGTTTTTGTGCTTGGGTTTCAGTTATGCAATGATCAAGTACCCATCCCTCCACCAGTGCCCATTCTCCACCACCAATGATCCCAGTAACCCTCCTAACCCTCCTATCCCCCCATCCCACCCCGCCTCTGTAGCAGGGCATTCCTTTTTGTTCTCTCTCTCCTTTTGGGTGCTGTGGTTTGCATAAGAGGCATTGAGTGGCAATCATGTTTGGTCTAGAGTCTACTTTCAGCATGCTTCTCCCATCCTGGGAGGATCCTCCCAACACCCTTTATTTGGTGCTCCCTTCTCTATCTGAGCTCCCTTTTCCCCTAGAGTGTGTGGCTGGCCTCCAAGCCATGGAGTAAACCTCCTGGTACTAATCTCTCAGCCTCTTAAACTTAAATTCTACTGGCAACTCCTTTTTTTGCCAGAGACATTTTTATGTGACCCCCCCCCCTCCCTGGCATATTAGGTATATGAAATAGGTATATGTAGCAAACCTTTACTGATAACTTATTATTGAAAAAAAAAAGTTGTTGTAGGGGCCAGAAAGATGGCTCAATGGGCTGAACCAATTCTGGTTTGATCCCTGGCACCACATGGTAACCAAAGCCAGGGAGTGACCCCTGAACCACAGAACTGGAAGAAGCACCTGGACATCACCGGGTGTGGCCCTAAAACCAAAAAAAGTCTGGTCAGTGGTTGGAAGCTTGCCATAAGTGTCTGGGGAAACGAAAGGCAGTTAGGATAGAGAAGGAACCAGTATGACAATAAAAGATGGAAATGATTGGGCAGAACTGAGTGTTGAAAGTAGGTAAAGGGACAGACCTGATAACCTTTCTGCATTGCAAACCATAAGGCCCGAAAATGGGGAGAGAGGAGGGAGGGGGAGGGGAGAGGGAGGGGGAGGTCCATCATAGAGGCAGGAGGGGGGTGGGGGGCAGTGCCAGCAGGAGAGAAACTGGGGACATTGGTGGTGGGGAATGTACACTGGTGAAGGGACGGGTGCTGGAACATTATATGACTGAAACCCAATCATGAGCAGCTTTGTAACTGTGTATCTCACAGTGATTTAATTATAAAATAAATTAAAAATTAAAACAGAGAAATAATTTCCCCTATAGCAGAACTTTTAAGATTGTTTGCGACCCTTCCCTCCGCCCCCCATCTTCACAACACATGATTGTATGGGCCACAGTTCAAAAATCTACAACTTGAACGGTACAAACAGGCTGTCTCATGGAGTCTGGAGGCCAGGGCAGCTGTAGGCAGAGGCCATGTCCTGTCCTCTGCCCTGGGCTGGCGGGGCCCCTTCCTGCTCACATGTACAACACATCTGAAGGCCCTCTCGGCATCAGGATAGTGGCTGAGCAGTCATGTTCCAGTCCATTCCATCATCATTCATCTGCTCCCTTCATAAAAGAGCCTCTCTCTACACAGCTCATTTTGGGGAGTAGGGGAGAACACGTCAATATTTTATGTTTTTTTTAACTTATTTATTTTTGGTTGGGGGGGGCAACATTTTTTAAAAGAAATTTATTTATTTATTTATTTATTTATTTATTTTGATGGGAGAGCCATACCCTGTGATACTCAGGGATTATTCCTGGCTCTGCACTCAAGAATTACTCCTGGGGGTGCTTGGGGGACCATAGGGGATGCTGGGAATCAAACCTGGGTTGGCTGCGTGCAAGGCAAACAACCTATATGCTGCTCTATGCTCCAGGCCCTAAAAGAAATTTTTATTAAAAATTAAAACTTTATTGTATCTAGTGTGAATGAATCATGAGTTTTTTAAAGGAATTCTGAGTGTTTAATGGAACTTTTTTTTTTTTTTTGGCTTTTTGGGTCACACCCAGTGATGCACAGGGGTTAACTCCTGGCTCTGCACTCAGGAATTAATCCTGGCAGTGCTCGGGGGACCATATGGGATGCTGGGAATCGAACCTGTGTCAGCCATGTTGGCTGCGTGCAAGGCAGACACCCTACCCGCTGTGCTATCGCTCCAGCCCTCAATGGAACTTTTAAATCCTCCACCCCCAAGTACATAAATTTATTTTATTTTAATAATATAGGGCTGGAGCGAAATGCAGTGGCTAAAGCACTTGTCCTGCATGAGGCTGACCCAGGTTCTATTTCCGGCACCAAATATGGTCCCATGAGTCCCACCAGGAGTGATCCCTGAGCACAGAGCCAAGAGTAAGTCCTGAACCCTGTCAGGTCTGGCCTAAAACTCAAAATATATATCATATATAATTACTTGCAAAATTGCAACTTGTTTTGGGGCACACCTGGCAGTCGCCAGGGGTTTCTCTTGGCACTGCACTCAGGAATCACTCCTGAGGCTTGGGGGACCATCTGGGGTACCTGGGATCGAACCTGGGTTGACCATTGTGCAAGGCAAACACCCTACCCACTGTCCTTTTGCTCTGGCCTAACAAAACTGCAACTTTCTAAAGGCTGCTTAGGTGGTGATTTTTCCCCTTTTCCCTTTGCTGTTGATGTCATCTCCCGGGGGTCACCCAAACACTGGGTAGTGCTGCTTGTATACCCAGAGGCAGTGGACCAGAGCTGCACCGTCTAGGAGTGTTCCAGAGAACAGAGTTATCAGGGCCATCAGTGTGCGTATGTGGTTGAACTGGGTGTCGAACTCTTGACCTCATACTTGCAAAACAGGTGTCTTTTTCTCTGAACTATCTCTCAGCTCTTGGGCCCTCCCTCCCTAAGGTTATTTAAGAACTGCAGATAGATATGTCTTGTATCTTTGTTTTCTTCTTTTTATTTTTAACTTTACTTATAACTCCTATAGGAACTTCCATTAAGATACAAACCGAAAGTGTTGAGAAGATGCCTTCTAATCACCGGAATTTGAACAAGCCCGCTGGTGGGGTTGGCATTGCCGAGATGTTCATCAGGAAAGAAGTGAAAGAAGATCTCAAGGTGAAATCGCATTTCCAAGCTTAACAGATGCAGGAAAATTGATTATTTTTTTAATGAATACTCATTAATAGGTTGGTAATGGGTGAGATTTTTAACTGACTGTTTTCAACATGGCGTTTTTTAAATATTGGAATGATAATTGGTAGGATGCTTTGCAGGTTTCTAAAAAAAAAAATGAGTATTGTTTGAGGCTTGCAGATATATAGCAGATGGTATTACAGCAGCTTGTGGCAGCCGAGAATCCCAGGTCTGCGGTCTGCTCACCCCAGTCCGGGGTCTTTTTTTTTTTTTTTGCTTTTTGGGGTCACACCTGCCGATGCACAGGGGTTACTCCTGGCTCTGCACTCAGGAATTACCCTGGTGGTGCTCAGGGGACCATATGGGATGCTGGGAATCGAACCCGGGTTGGCTGTGTGCAAGGCAAACACCCTACCCGCTGTGCTATCACTCCAGCCCCAAGTCTGGGGTCTTTTGACCAGACTAAGACCCAATAGGAAGTCGAGAGTGACGGAGAAATGTTTTGTTTGTTTGTTTGGGTCACACCTGGAAATGCACAGGGGTTACTCCTGGCTCTGCACTCAGGAATTACTCCTGATAGTGCTCAGGGGACCATATGGGATGCTGGGAATCGAACCCGGGTTGGCCGTGTGCAAGGCAAACACCCTACCCACTGTGCTATCACTCCAGCCCCAAGTCTGGAGTCTTTTAACCAGACTGAGACCCTATAGGAAGTCGAGAGTGACGGAGAAATGTTTTGTTTGTTTGTTTGGGTCACACCTGGAAATGCACAGGGGTTACTCCTGGCTCTGCACTCAGGAATTACTCCTGATAGTGCTCAGGGGACCATATGGGATGCTGGGAATCAAACTTTGGTTAGCCACATGCAAGGCCCTTCCCACTGTGCTATCACTCCAGCCCCTATGGAGAAATGTTTAAGAGAAAAAAATGAATCTGGTCAAGCTTCTCACCTGAATGGGGGGTGTGTGTGTGGGGGGGGGGATCCTTACCACCCTGAGCAGGTCCAAAGCCCCGACCCCATGAGAGCATGGGCCTGTCCTGTTGTATTTCTTGGCCTGTTTGGCTTGATGGGATTGTCTGTTTTGGCGCCTCCCGACCTCATCCCCCTTAGACCGTGTTCCGTTTCCCACCCTGTGTAATCAGAGCGCTTGATCTAACTGCTTTCATTCATTCATGCTCTCTCTAGAGAGGGGGGGCTTCAACCAAGGAGGTGAGGGGCTATTCCAGAACCGCAGAGGAGCCCTTACCTTGGACATATACTCTCTCTCTCTCTCTCTCTCTCTCTCTCTCTCTCTCTCTCTCTTTATTCTACAGTGGAACACTTCAGAAATGTTTTAAATTCCCAAGTGTTTGCGTTCGAATACATGCATTGAAACAGCAAGCAACTAAAGCAGTTCCCTCTACTTTCAAAGCCAAGATTTGCACCTTTGTGCCCTGGTCCTTCAGAGGGTGGGGGTGTAAACTTTGCTGCCCCATGTGGTGGTGGGGATCCGGCGCCTCCTTCCGGGTTCACTGTCCTACTTCCTGTCACCTAGACCTGAGGGGTGCTCCCAGGCACGGTGAGAACTGTCTTTGCATTTCAGTGTGCAGACGTGGAGGATGACGACTGGGACATATCGTCTCTAGAGGAAGATAAGTCTCTGGGGCAGAGACCGGGGAAAGATCCTGTGGAATCTCGACTTCTCAAGAGTGACCCAAATCCCATGCAAGTGCCAAGTGCCTGGGGCCCACCAAACCCCAAAGTTGCCAAGGAAGAAGGTGAGTGGCCTTTGCCCCCTGATGGGAGCAGAGCCTACTTCTGTACCAAGATGGCAAACTGTATTGCCAAAAAAATCCATCCACCTGGTCTTGCCGCTTCCAGGGGCTGGGGAGAGGCCCAGAGGGCCAGAGCACATGCCTTATGTGCATGGGGCATAGCCCAGCACCACAGGGACCCCATCACCACCACTGGGTGTGGCTCTGGGCAACCCCACCCCCCCACCCCCGTCATAGGGTCACGGAGTCCCACAGCACCTCATCGCCACCCAAGCACTGAGTCGTGAGGAGGCCCTGTAGCACTGTAACACTGTTCATCAATTTGCTTGAGAGGGCACCAATAATTAACGGGAGGCTTGTTGTTACTGTGTTTGGCATATCGAATACGCCATGGGGAGCTTGCCAGGCTCTGCCGTGCAGGCAGGATACTCTTGGTAGCTTTCTGGGCTCTCCGAAAGGAACGGAGGAATCGAACCGGGGTCAGCCATATGCAAGCCCTACCCACTGTGCTCCAGCCTGAGGAAGCCCTAAACAACACTTGTCACTTTTAAAAACGCCCATACACATAATGCGGGTGCACCCCTCCCCTGAAACATGAAGACTTTTCATCTATTTTAGGTAAAGAGAAACAGGACAGGGGTTAAGCATGTGGACGACCCTGGATCCATCACCTCACCATAGGGTCAACCCTGTGCATGGCTGAGTACAGTCATGGAAGTCTCTTCCCCCCTCACGTACCCCTGCACTGTGGAGTGTGGCCACTGAGGTAGCCTAGGCCCAGCAGCAATCAGCCGGTCCGGTTGGCCAAGTGGCCCCCAGGCCTCCTGAGCACTGTTTGAGAGGTTAAAAAAATAATCATTTTCCTGAAGGAGAGCATTCTTCTGGCAGTCTTCCTTATCGAACCACTCACATAGGAAATGTTTCTCCTGTTTTCTTTTTCTTCCTTTCCTTTTGGTCTCTAGTCACTGGGATGAGTAGCAAGTTAAGCCATCAGTTGACTGCTATTTCTGTTCATCTAGTCTTTTTTTTTTTTTGCTTTTGCTTTTTGGGTCACACCCAGAGATGCACAGGGGTTACTCCTGGCTCTGCACTCAAGAATTACTCCTGGGGGGGGCGGGGGGGCCTTCACCAATTGACTGGCACCCAAACGGAGACAAAAATGAAGGATCTTTCTGGTCTCCTCCGGAGGGGGGGCTGAAGTCCTATTTAGAATTGTGTTATAGCCCCACTGCTCCCTCTGCTCACCCACTCCCTACCCATTCCCTTCCACATGACTGGTCCCAGGGTGTTCCCTATAAGCCTCCCACATCCCAGCCTCAAACTGATGGAGAAATCAAACACAGAAATCAAACTGATGGACAGGCAGAACTACATTGTATATAAATTCCATCAAGGAGTCACCTGGTTTCCTTTTACTTATTTTTTATTTTATTAATTATATTATTATTATTATTTGCTTTTTGGGTCACACCCGGTTATGCTCAAGGGTTCCTCCTGGCTCTGCGCTCAGGAATCACTCCTGGCGGTGCTCAAGGGACCATATGGGATGGTGGGAATCAAACCCAGGTCAACCATGTGCAAAGCAAACGCCCTATCTGCTGTCACTTCTGTCCCTGTTCTTGCGTGTGGAGAAGGCCAGTAATTTAACTCTCCATTTTAGAGAGTTTCACTCAGTTTTTATTTTATTCTATTTTTTGTTCATTTTACTCTTATAAAGTTTCTCACAATAACTGATTACATTTAACATTCAAACACCAATCCCACCACCATCACTAAACCTTCCCACCACCATATTTTGGATGTTTCCATCCCGAACCCCAAACCCTGCCCCCAAAGCAGAACCGAAATAATTTCTTTTCTATTGCTAGTTACGAATAATCCACTAAAAATCATCCAAAAAATGTTTCTTAGAGCAAAGTGTGTGTGAAGGTTGCTGGATTTCACCCAGGAGCCATTAAGCCCTTCTCGAAGAGATTAGTAACCTGCTGTTAAATGTTGTCACTGCATCGGCTCACCAGAGTGAATCTGTGTGTGTGGTGCAAGGCCATGACCCAGATGGGTCCTCCACTCTTGTCTATTCTGAGTCAGCTGCCCTGCCCCTGAGCACTGGGCTTCTGTAACCCCATTCCCAGACTGCCCCTCAGAAACCCAAATTCTGGGCATTCTGTGACACAGATAAGGATCCGCTTATTCCCCCCACATCTGGCGCCTCGCAAGCCCCCTCTTAAGGACGTTTTGAACCCCTTACTCATAATTTAAGTTGGATACATGTGAGTCTTGCTGCTGCTTCTCCATTACATGGCTGCGTTCCCCTCTCTTTCCTCCCCACTGTTGGGGGGCTACGTCTTTCCTCTCTCCTTGCCACAAATGACACCATTTCCCTTCAGGCCTGTAGCTGATATTACGTTACCTGTGTTCCGTCTATAAAGAGGCTTGCAAGCAGTGGTAAAAAACAAAAAATAGGGTATGTGCTGTTGGCGTGATTGTAAGTAAGCAGTGGCGAGATGGGTCCTGGGCACACGGCCTCTCCCCTCTCCAGCCCACCACCCCATATCCTTCCCAGGAAATACTTCTCCAGTCAAACCCACATGGAACTGTCTGCGCAGTCAGAGGCTCAACACTCGTTTTTCCCACTAACCATGTTTACACCCCTCTTCCCTAAGAAAGTTGCTTGTTTGGGGGACTTTTTTTTTTTAATTAGTGAAACACCATGAGGTATAGTTGTAGACTTACAAGTTGTTGTGCTTGGGTTTCAGTTATACAATGATCAAGTACCCATCCCACCACCAGTGCCCATTCTCCACCCCCACCAATCCCAGTATCCCTTCCACCCTCCCCATCCCCCATCCCACCCTGCCTCTGTGGCAGGGCACTCCCTTTTGTTCTATCTCTCCTTTTGGGTGCTGTGGTCTGCAAAAGAGGCAATGGGTGGCAATCATGTTCGGTCCATAGACTACTTTCAGCAAGCATCTCCCATCCTGGGCAGATCTTCCCAGCACCCTTTATTTGGTGCTCCCTTCTCTACCCGAGCTGCCTTTAATTTGGGGGACTTTTTTGTTTGTTTGTTTTGACATTTAATCATGCCTCCTTGGCCTGTTAACATATCTTATTTTTAAAGTCTGGGGCACTAAACCCAGGGCCTCACACACGCCAAGGGGTGATGACCTCACCAGGAGCCACCTCGGGCTGGTCCTTGGCTTGGAGATTTTGTCTCCTGCCTTGATTACCAATATTGGACTACATACGAATGTAACTGACATATACAGGACAGCATCCAGCCCTGTGCTGAATGAAGGGAGGGAAAGAGAGGCAGAATCTGGTTCCTGCTGCCCAGAATCTATGCTGTGGGGCCTCTAAAAGCACTCCAAAGAGTGGCCATTGCTTTGAAATCTATTAAAAGCACCTCATGAGGCCTATGGGTGAGGTGTAGGGTCCTATGGGTGGGGCGTGGTGGCTTGGGGGCTGGATGTGGAGGCCTATGGGCGGGATGTAGGGCCTATGGGTGGAGCTTAGGGCCAATGGGCAGAAAGTTGGGTCTATGGGCGATTTGTGAGGGGGGGGTCTGTGGGCAGCGTATGGAGGCTTGTGGGTACTGTGGGGGGGCTTGTGAGGGGGGCATGGGGCCTATGGGTGGAGCATGAGGCCTGTGGGCTGGGTGTGAGGGCTCTGGACTGGGTGTGGGGCTGTAGGCGGGGCATGGGGCCTGTGGGTGAGGCATGAGGGCTGTGGGCGGGGCATGGGGTCCGTGGGTGTGGCATGAGGCTGTGGGCGGGGCATGGGGCCTGTGGGTGGGGCGTGAGCCTGTGGGTTGGGTTTGGGGGAGTCTGTGGGGGTGAGTGTGAGAGTCTGTGGACAGGGTATAGCGACTTGTGGGCGGAGCATGGGGGCTTGTGGAAGGGATGTGAGGGCCTTGGGCTGGGTGTGGGGGTTCTGTGGTGGGGCATGGGGCCTGTGAACTGTGATTGATCCTTGTGGGTGGAGATTGGCCCCCTGTGGGCGGGGCGTGAGGACCTGTGGGCGGGGTAGGAGGGCTGTGGGCAGGATGTGGGAGCCTATGGGCGGGGCCTGTGGGCCTGTGGGCGGGGCCTTTGGGCGGAGGTTAGCCCCCCTGTGGGCGGGGCACGTGGGCGGAGATTAGCCCTGTGGGCGGGGCCTGTGGGCCTGTGGGCGGGGCTTTGCAAACAGCGTGAGCCCTTTGATCAATTACTTTAATCAAGGAGATTTGGGATTTCTTTTCTCTGGGTTTGACTGTGCGCTTGTTTGCTCGTTTTAACCTTCGGGGCCGTTTCCTCCTCCCCTCTCCCTCCTCAGGACTTCTAGGGGAATCCAAGAGCAGCTTAGTCACTGTGACTGACTGGAGCGACTCCTCCGACGTGTGACCGTGACCCCAGCTCTGGGCCAGCCAGGCCAGCAGTGTCCAGCGGCGCAGGGCAGCACGTGGCCGCGCCACCCCGGTGCTCCTGCCTTACGGATGCCCCCAAGGCCACCAGGAAGCCACGGTGAAGACCAGGCGTCTCTGACAGCGCCCCGTAATACAGTATTTGAAGGAACCGCCAACAGTATTTTGAAGCATATAGAGGTGTTTAAAACTTAACGCTGCTTAAAAATACCGTGTCACTGATAAAAAAGAAAAAGTCTTTCCTTCAGAACAGTACTTTAGTGTTTAAGTGTATTTCTTTTCAATTAATTTTAAATGAACTTAATTTTTAAAATTTTTTTTTTACGTACAGGTGTTGATTTGAGTTGACTTTTTTTCATTTCCCCCCACCACCTCATTATCTTAGATTCGTTGTCCCTAGGAGGCATTTTATTCTAAAATTCCATTCATCTCCTTAAAAGCAAGTTCATAAATTCATGGAAATCAGTGAAATCTTAAAAGTAGATTGGTTATTTGTCATATAGAAGTAAGTTTAGAATTTTGAAACTATAGCAAGGCCCATATTACATTTTTCCAGAACTCTCTTTGCCACTTGCAACATTTAACCATTGTAAGCATGTTATTATTAAACAATTATTTTAAAGCTTTGACTACAGTTTGGCAGCACCATCTCTACCTTGGACACTTCATGAAATGTAGCTATTTTAACTGTATGGATAGAAAAAAAAGGGACTCATTGCTGAATTCTTACGTGTGTCTGGATGTTTTCACTTTTCTTAAATGCCCAATCAGATTATGAGATACCTCAAAATTAATTTGGTTCTGTTCTTAACAATGACATTGACGATGGTCAAAAAATGTCATGTAAGTCCAGGAGGTGGGAGGGTTGGGGAGGGGGGAGTCTTGCATTTTTAAAAATACTTTTTCCTACTCTCTGTATTGTTTTCCTTAAAAAAAAAAAAGTTTCATTTTAATGAAATGGTTGGTTGGGTGTGAGGTCTCCTTTCATCCCTTCCTGTCAACTTTTCAAGTAAACGTCCATGATACCCTTCCAGTTGTGGCTGAGTTATTAGAGATGATTGCTGAGGCCAGCTCACCTCCTTTTGCAGGTTGCAGCTGGCCTTGGAGCGGAGCCGCCAACACCCTCAGCTCAGGGATGAGCCCTGTTTCACCTGCTGCCTCCCCGCCCACCGATCTTCACTTCCAACCCATGCTCTCACCCTTTCGAAAAACGTCCCATCAGGGGCTGCGTTCTGCAAATATACCCACTTCTTGGAAAATTTCCAGAAGCACTAATAAATAAATTCAGAGCTTATTTTTCTTGTTGGGCTGGAGCAATAGCACAGTGGGTAGGGCATTTGCCTTGCAAATGGCCAACATGGCCGACCCGAGTTCGATTCCTCCACCCATCTCAGACGAGAGTATAGAGGTTAAGGCACTTGCTCTGCACACAGCTGACCCCGGTTCAATTCCATACTACACATGACCCTGAGAGCAACACCAGGGATGATTCCTGAACATGGATCCAGGAGTAAATTCTGTGCAGAGTAGTTGTAGAGAGGGTAAGTTGCCTGCCTTGGATGTGGCAGGCACCGATTCAATCCTCATGGTTCCCCGAACACAGACATGGGATGGGTGTAGCCTCTGGGCTCCTCTGGGTGTTCCCAATGGCCCCCATTCACCACTACCACTCACATGTTTATACTTACACACACACACACACACACACACACACACACACACACACATACACACTTGGGCGTGAAGCCCCCAGCAGCATGATGTATTAAGCACAATGATACCAAACCACCGGCTACTTCCCTGGCCCTTTCTGATCAGGGGTGACGACTTGCACAGCAGGGGCCCCAACCTGGCTGGAAGCCAACTCCTTCCACTTTCCAGCCGAGGGGGCCTTTGGCCACTTGATTCCTCTAGCTTTCCCACATCTTTAGGGTGAAGATTAGCACCCCAGACAGTAATCTGGGGACAATAATTTCATCTCAAAGATGCTGTAATTAAATGAACTAGTTAGCATCAGGAAGTGTCATATTCATGCCACAGGCCAAGTCTTACCCAACTCCCAACGCTCTGTCACCAGAGACAGTGTCGGTTCCAAGTCTGGACACTCCTCACTGCTCAGTCCCCTCAGACTTGGCTCTCCTCGCCTCCTCGTCAGCTCACCCAGGCTCCTGGTGGCTAAGGTGGAGTGCACTTGGGGCCTGCCAGGTGCCAGGGGCTGTCGGCATGTAGCATGCGGGGTAATAACTCCCCCAGGTGAGGGGTATGAAAACAGGGCTGTTGCTTGGAATAAATCCTGTCCAGGTTCAGGAATCCCTGGGGACTCTTGTCTGTGTCTCCTCACCTGACAGGGCGCTCTGGCATCTGGCCTGCTGAGGAGGCAGGCACTCACCCTCCCCAGGCCTCTGTGTCCTGGTTCGGCTGACCCTGAATGGCCCTCAGACAACTGACCCCTTTGCTCGATGGCCCAGGTGTGAGAACACGGCAAACCTCTCTGCCCCTGGAGAGTCACCGCCAAGGGCCGTGGACACAGGTGGATGAAACCACTCACAGCCAGTACGTCCGATCCAAACCTGAAGAGACAGTCCGGTCACTCCATCCTGGTTCCAAGACACCCTTTCTAATCCCCCCCCCCACACACACACCCGGCTAGATACATGAAAGTATCTAGCGGGGAGTAAATTAGAGAAAAGGCAGGTGGACAGCCTTCGTCATCGGAAGGAGGCAAACGCTTCTCGAACCCATGGCGCTAAGTTCCATGACGGTCCCTACAGACGCATCACATCTCTGCAAATCCTGTAAAGAACTGTTTACTGTTTTTTTTATAGAAAGGCACAACAGAAAATGATTAGTACATAACTAGGTCGGAACACATACATCCAGACAATCAACAAGTTCTCCAAATGCACATTTTCAAAATAGAGTGTGAAGCGGAGGAGGGCCTTGAGGGGGTCATGTGCAGGGACAGTTCCTCTTTCTCGCCACCTCGAGGCCCTTTCAGACGTAGGCATTCTTGTCAAACTGTTTGGAAGGGTGTGTGCTCTTAAAGTCTCCGCCACCTTGGTACTTGGTCCGCGAGGACATGGCCGACGTGGCCCCGTTGTACGTGTAAGCCATTCTGCAAGGCAAAGACAGTGTGGCAGTGCCCAGCCCCACGGAACGGACAGTGGAAGCAGCCACCCCTCCCCGGGGATGCCAGGAAGGAAGCAGGGGCTAGCAGGCATTCTGCCCTTTATGTCAGTCTGTCCTTCCTTCCCTTCTTCCCTCCCTTCCTCTTTTCCTCCCCCCTTCCCTTCCTCCCCTCCCACCCTTCCTCCCCTCCCACCCTCCCTCCCCTCCCTCCCTCCCTCCCTCCCTTCCTTCCTTCCTTCCTTCCTTCCTTCCTTCCTTCTTCCCTCCCTCCCTCCTTCCTTTCTTCCTTCTGATGGCTTTCATATGTTCAACTTCAGCAGTTTAGTATATAAGTGTGCGTGTAGTGTGTGTATATACACATATGTTTGAGTGTGTAATCCCTCCTTCCTCTCTTCCTTCCTTCTTCCTTCCTTCCTCCTTCCTTCCTCCTTTCCTCCTTCCCCTCCCTTCCTCCCTCCCTCTCTCCCTTCCTTCCTTCCTCCTTCCCTCCCTTCCTTCCATCCTTCCTGGCTTTGGGCCACATATAGCTGTGCTCAAGATTTACTCCTGGCTCTACACTCTCCAGGTCGTTTCTTTATTGTTTTTATTTTTAATTTTGGAAAATTTTGGCCCACACCTGGTGTTGCTCAGGGTTCACTCCTGGCTCGATGCTCAGGGATCCCTCAGAGGGCCATATGGGGCTGGCTTATTCAAGGCTTCCCACTCCACCTGCTGTGCTATCTCTCTGACCGTGTTCCACGTCATTTCTAAATGGTTCGACTGATAAAGCCATCTCTGCAGAAGAAAACTCACGGGTGCTCATTTATTCTGTTGTTCTCTTGAAGGAGAATATTTCATTTAGAGTTTTTGTGGGAGGCCTCTCAAGGAGTCCCTACCTTCCATTCTCAGCCCAAGGGCCACTGTCAACCCGACACTGAAGGGGCCTCCAAAGTCGCACCCAAGGATGCTTGGGGGACCATGTGGTGCTGAGAATTGAAGTTGGATCAGACACACGTCTAGCACACACCCTAACTGCTAGACTATCTTCCAGCCCCATGAATATTGTTTTTTTCTAAAGCATCTTCCTAGAGGGCCAGAGAGACAGTGTAGGAGGGGTTATGGGACTTACCTTGCATGTAGCTGATCACAGCTCTATCCCCAATACTTCATAGGGTCCCCAAGCGCTGCCATGAGTGATCTCTGAGCACAGAGCCTGAGTGAGCCCTCAGCACAGCCCCAAAACCAAAACAAACAACATTTTCCTGGGACCTAGGGCACAGCTGGGACCAGCCTCACCCATCACTACCTATGTGGAAATGACAAAAGGAAGAAGGGAAGGCTAATTCCCTGGCTGGCTGTCCTCATTATTATTAGAGAAGTAACTGTGGGATGCAAGAAGGACAAGCTCTGCTTTTTTTTTTTTTAATTAATTGTGATAACATCCATCCTATAACACTGTGCATAATATCATTTACATCGATTCCTCACCTTTCCCAATTCTGAGTCTTTGACATTTCAAAGATCATAGGAACCACCTATGATTTGACCCCACTTGGATTGTACTTTTCAACCGGTCAGGTTTTCTTTTTCTTTTTTTTTTTTTGGCTCTCATACCTGGGTGTTTTGTTGTTGTCAGATATCGAAAAGCAAAATATGACACCGCCAATTATACAGAGTGAGGCTCCTGCCCAGCCAATGAAGAGAGCGGCTCCTAATTCATACCTGTGAGAAAGTATTTCACAAGTATTACGGCTTGCGTTCCTGCAGGGTAAACAGTATTTAACACGACTCACCGACATTGGCCAAAGGCTCATGACAACGTTTGTGGCTGTGGTCGCTTGTTTAGGAAGGAATAACACCTCGTGCTTGAATAGGGACTGAACCTTTCCTCCAAGTGTTTTTTACAGCCATCATCTCCCCAACATGGGGGAGGAGGAAGGAGGGGATGGGGCGGGGAAGGCAAGCGTGAAGGTTCCCAAGTAGACAAGTGAAGCCAACTGAGGCCAAGGCCTCATGGCCCCGCCAGCATCTTTCTACAGACTCTGAACATCACAAAATTCCCTGTCCCTTCAGACCGTTCCCGGGCTCGAGTATTTCCAAGGCAGAAAAGCAAAGGATGCCTCTGCTTTCATTTTACTTCATCAAGTGTTTTCTTCTTCTCAAATCCTGATAAGATCCTAAAGTTCAGACCCCTTCACACATGCATCTTTTTTTTTTCTTTTTGGGTCACACCCGGCAATGCTCAGGGGTTCCTCCTGACTCTGCACTCAGGAATTTCTCCTGGCAGTGCTGGGGGGACCATATGGGATGCTGGGAACTTAACCCGGGTCGGACATGTGCAAGGCAAACGCCCTCCCCACTGTGCTATTGCTCCAGCCCCCCGCCCCATGCATCTTTGACCTGAGGATTATTTTGAGTTGATAGTGATTGAGAAGCACGTAGAAGGACTCAGTCCTCCATTTACCTAAAAGCAACCTGCAAATTTACGGATTTATTCTCCTCCCCTCCCCTCCTCACCAAGAAGGACAGAGGTAATCACCAAAGCCTCTAGTAAGCTCCAGCCTGGCCTAGGAACCCACATAATAAACTTGGCTAAAACCAGCCTTTACCATTATTCCCAGGTTTTTACATGCCCACAGTCTGCCAAAATCTTTGATAATAAGCTTGAAACTTTTTTCTTTTGTCCATCTCTTCTTAGAACATCCATGAACCCACCCCTCATCTGACAAAAGGTCAATATCCAAAAATCTATAAAGCACTTGCAGAAGTTCACTGTATTACTGTCATCCCGTTGTTCATCGATTTACTTGAGCAGGCTCCAGTAACATCTCCATTCGTCCCAGCCCTGAGATTTTAGCAGCCTCTCCTTTCTCGTCCTTCTTACTGGTGCCTTATTAAAGCTCTTTCAGTGTCAGGGGAATGAGACCCATTACTGTTACTGTTTTTGGCATATTGAATATGCTACGGGAAGCCTGCCAGGCTCTGCCGTTCGGGCGGGATACTCTCGGTAGCTTCAGAAGTTAACAACAAAAAAAATCAAACAACCCCATCATAAAAGTGTGAGAAGAGATGAAAAGACACTTTCTTAGAGAATAAGACATGCAGATGGTCAACAAGTTACATGAAAATTTGCTCTGTATCCTAACTCATCATAAGGGAAATACAAAACAAAACAACATAAGAAAGAACAAAATAACCAGTGCTGGTGTGGATGTGGGGAAAGGGAACCCTCATACACTGCTGGTGGGAATGCTGATAGGGAGAAGGCACAGCAGAGAGGGTGTTTGTCTTGCACAGGGCTGACCTGGGTCAACCCCAGCATCCTAAATGGTCCCCTGAGCAGCGCCAGGAGTAATTCTTGCTTGTAGAGACAGGAGGAACCCCTACGCATTGCTGGGTGTGGCGCCTAAACAAATAAGCACTGTAGCACTGTCCTCCCATTGTTCATCGATTTGCTCGAGTGGGCACCAGTAACGTCTCACAACAAATTGTGAGACTTGTAGTTACTGTATTTGGCATATCGAATGCGTCACAGGTAGCTTGCCAGGCTTTGCTGTGCGGGCGAGATACTCTCGGAAGCTTGCCGGGCTCTCCGAGAGGGGCAGAGGAATCGAACCAGGTTCAGCCGCGTGCAAGGCAAACACCCTACCCGCTGTGCTATCGCTTCAGCCCCTAAACAAATAAAACAAAGAAAAACAGATTTTGGGTTTGGGTTTTTTTTTCTGGTGGGAAGGTTGAGTGGTTCAACCTCTTTGGAAAATAATAAGAATGTCTCAAAAACAACAAGCATTCAGCCCCACAGGACCTAGCATTTCTAATTCTTAGCATCCAAGGACCCCCAAAACACCTTCAAAAAAAGACATTTGTGGTCCCTGTTGCAGCTCAATTAACAATAGCCAAACTCTGGAAATAAGTCAAGTGTCTAAGAACAGATGGCTGGATTAAGAAACACACAATGGACTAGAACTCAGTTAAAAGATGAAATCATGCAATTTGCCACTACCCGGATGGGTCTTGGAGGATATCATGCTGAGGAACGTTATCCAGGAGAGGAACAAATACAGAATAATCTCCCTCCTATGGGAAATATAAAGAAACATAGTAAGGGAGCAACAAATGGCTCAGTACAACAGAACCGGAGAATTGGCCTCTAGAACAAAATTTTCTGGGGGTGAGGAGTCTGGGGGTTGGGGGTTGCTGGAACTAGGGGGCATGAAGGTAGGCATTCTGGTGGCTGGTTGTGGTGCTGGAACCACGTACATAGGAAACAAGCACTGATACTGCTATAACTCAGGTGCCTTGACTTACATGGAGGGGGGGAGGGCATGTATGGTTCTTTTGTTCAGATGCTATATGGCCTCAATTCCAATCACCTTTGGGAGTTACTCATCAACTGTGTGTGTGTATGTGTGTGTGTGTGTGTGTGTGTGTGAGAGAGAGAGAGAGAGAGAGAGAGAGAGAGAGAGAGAGATATGCACATAATAATTAGTTGCTTTTGCTGCCTTAATCTGTCTCTTGCCAGTCAAACTCACGGGGCTGAAGTCAGACAACCTGGCAAACACTGTTATCCCCCTTCCGTCCAGTACCCTTGCAAGGCCAGTGATTGGGCCAACATCAGCTTCCCTATCTTCCAATCTGTTGGGGGATGAATACAAAGCAACCACCACTTAGTGACAGCAGGTGACAATGGCGGACCACAGAAGCCCACTGCTGATGAAAGTAGACTCTGAGGTAAACAAGACGACCTGCCCTTGGGAGGTCACTGCCCAAAGGAACAGGTGAGCTGCTGAGAACAAAGACCAAAATCACCTCTGGGTGCAGGCCAGGAGAAATCTGTGCAGGGGTAGAAGCACTCGCCCCAGAGGAGGAATGAGAGACGTACACACAGATTATTTCAAGCGTGCACTCGCAGATGCCTGTTCTTTCTCTGAAGAGTAAAGGCACCTGGGGCTGGAGCGATAGCACAGCGGGTAAGGTGTTTGCCTTGCACGCAGCCAACATGGCCAACACAGGTTCGATTCCCAGCATCCCATATGGTCCCCCGAGCATGGCCAGGAGTGATTCCTGAGTGTATGAGCCAGGAGTAACCCCTGAGCATCGCCAGGTGTGACCCAAAAAGAAAAAAAAAAGAGTAAGGGCACCTGCCTGGCATGAACCAGCTTGGCATGATTCCATCCTGGAAGCCCATACGGGTCCCCTGAACCCGCCAGGATTGATCCTAGTGCAGAGCCAGGATTAAGTCCTGAGTACTGCCGGGTGTGGCACCCCCTCAAAAAGGAGCAGGCATAGAGAGATGCTGCTTCTCCTATGGACCCCTAGACCATAACTACAAGGACAAAAGGAAGACACATTCTTCCTCAGCTAAGTGCCTTCTGGCTCGAAGGGAAGGCAGAGGGGGAGGGTCTGAGAGAGCCAAATAAGAAGGGGTGGGCTCCCTCTCCTGCACCCCACCGCTAGTCTGAAGCAGGGTCGGGCTTAAATACCAAGGCCAGGGGTCCTGTGACCTGCAGGTGCCTGACCCCTTTCTGCAGGCTCATGGGTGGGGTAGAGGGGACAGGTGGACAGGGTCACGGAGGTGCAGAGAGTCGGTACTCGAGACCACAGGGTCACCCACACCGACTGCAGGGTCCACCCACACCGACTGTCCAGAAACTGACCTCCTGTGAAATATGGCTCTGTGAGCTGTACCAGGGAGAAACCAGGCAGGAGAGATGGGCCAGGGGCTGGCTTTCAGAGTCAGCTTTTGGGGGTAACATTGTGGGCAGTGTCTGCCAGAGGGACAGGAGATGAGGGACCCAGTAGCTACACCCCATCCCGAGTGCACTTGTTTTTCTTGCTCACCCCGCCTGCCTCTCTGCTGTTTCTCCAGCTGCACCCCTCAGAGGTAACGGGGGTTCGTATGGAGAAAGACATCTTGAGTCTGCTGAGAAAACCAGCCTGGAACAGGATGGGGATGGGGGTGTGGAGGAGCAGCAGGGGGTGCAGAGAGAGTGGACCCAAAGGAGTGTTGGTGGGCACCTTCTGAAACATCATGCATCTAAAAAGGACAGTCAGAGAGAGAGAGAGAGAGAGAGAGAGAGAGGGACAGACACAGAATGACTGCACTCATTGGTGGAATATAAAGTAACATAATAGGAGATTAACACCCAAGGCTAGTAGAGATAAGGGCCAGGAGGATCGCTCCATGGTTCGGAAGCAGCTGGGATGGAGAAGCGACCACTAAGTAAAGGATGCTTGGAGGGCTCGCTCGCTTGGGATGGGAGATGCGTGCTGAAAGTAGACTATGGACCAAACATGATGGCCACCTAATACCTGCATTGCAGACCACAACACACAAAAGGCGGGGGAAGGGGAGGAGAGAGAGAGAGAGAGAGAGAGAGAGAGAGAGAGAGAGAGAGAGTAAAAAGAAATGTGCCTACCACAGAGGCAAGATGGGGATGGAAGGGGGTGGCAGGAGGGATACTGGGAACATTGGTGGTGGAGAATGGGTCCTGGTGGAGGGATGGGTACTTGATCACTGTATGAACTGAAACATAATCATGAACGTTTGTAAATCTGTAACTGTATTTCACAGTGATTCATTAAAAAAAGGTTTTTTTTTTTCTTTTTTTTTTTAAAAAAGGACATCCTGGGCGGACACGATCCATTTCCAAGATGTTTGACTGAGACAAGGAAGCCACAGAGACAAGTAAGCCACAGAGGCAGTCGCATTTCTGGCACCA